GTATGCTAATCGATGGAGTAGGGGTGGTGTAGAAGGGAAAATAATTTATAGCATCAGGGAGGATGTCCAAAGTAAGTAAATTATTACATAATACTTCTACATGAGCAATAATATTGGTGATATTCATTGGTGATAATTTTTTTACTTTCTGAAACAAAAAACAAAAAAAAGGGGTATTGCCAATGATGTTATTCCACTCCAAGGTGATAGACGGTGATATCGGAAGTAATTATTTAGTCCTATGATTACGTATATATATATATATAGTATGTGATAAATATAGCGATTGTGAAATATATTTAGCTTAAAAAAAAGAAAAAAATTGTTAATCATTTTAATATTAATTTTAATCGAAAAGTAATAAAAATCCAATTACTCTATCGCATCTACGTAAATCGAAAAATATATCGAGTTCAAGGATTTCACCTTCAAAATTTAATGCCTTGAGTCAAATCGAGTGATTATGTATATATCCAAGTATTAATATTTTTTCCAACAGCAGATATATGCTTGTCCGCTGATTATTTTTTGGATAGCTTGAATAGTTATACAGTTAATAAAATAAGTGTATAAACTATTAGGGATACTTGTGTGGATTTCGATCTGAATTTAAATTTAAATTAAAATTACGATGATTTATTGTTGAACTTTATGGTATCTCAGCTGTGAAAATGAATGAGAAAAAATATATTTTTGAAGTCGAGTTATCTGTCAACATTACTTTGTAGGATTTTTAAAAGTGTATTGACGTCTCGTACCAAAATAAATTAAAACATCTTCCTGAAATCTAATTAAGAAACACCGAGATATTTTACTGATTTAATCATGTGGCATTGAAGTTTATTAAGAAATAAAGGACAATTTATGGTCTACTAAATATCATAGAATTTATAAGTATATATTATGAAAATTTTATAAGTATATGTATATTACAAAAACCATTTTATACTCATGAACTTTTAATAACTATTTTTAACATACTGCCGTGGTGAATTACGATGTAGGGCACGGGTGTGAATTCCATGGGGATTCTGTTAACTGCGTTCCGAGCACCCCACGCGGTGCGCAACACCATGGATGGACAAATCGTGATTGGAACCACTGAAAATTCAAAGGAGATTATTTAAATTAAACAACCTTTTTTTTTTTTTTTTTTTTTTTTTTTTTTTTTTTTTTTTTTTTTTTTTTTTTTNGTTAAAATAATTTTTGCTTGCGTCAGAATAGAAAAAAAATTAGTTTGAATTCAATTCGTCAAAATTTGTTTTCCAAAAATTTTAATAAAAAAAATATGAATAATCAAAGAAAAATATCTTCTTTGACAATTGACGTGTTTATTTATTTATTTTAATTTTTTTAAGAATTTACTTTTTATGGAATTGGTCGTGTAGTTATGCAATTAGGGGGTGTCCACGTCCCCGCAAAACTCCCTCAAGCTCAAGGATCATTCTTTATCCAGAAATGAGTAAACAGAAGAAGGCCGCTATGTTTTTTATTTTACATTTTATTGAATGAAGAATAACTTTGTGAATCGAGAAAAGCTTAAAGTGCGTGTGTCAATAAAGGTATGTGTTTTATATTAAACATCAACATGAGATGATTATAATCAAAACAAAGTGTCACTGAAGAATTCTATATAATACACCTATATATACGTCCTTGATAGGTAAGGCTTACTTCTATAATTTTGTAACCTCATTATCAGTTTTTTATCATTTCTCGATAAAAAAATTTATTCGTTTGACTTTTCAGTTCACCAGATAATTATTTATCAATTAACATGGCCACCGATGATCCAAACTCCTGGAGGACACCCACCTTTCGACAGAGCATGATTGCCAAAATGTAAGGCTGATAACTATCTTTGCTTGAACTAATTGTTTTCAATTTTTCTTTTTAACTTTTAGAGAAGAAAACATTCAAAAATTCCAAATGCCAATTGTCAAAAATGCTACAGACATGGAGAATCATGTTTTCATGAAAGCCAAGACCAAGGTGGTGCATTAATTTTACTCCAATACATAAGTAGTTTTTACGTGTCATTACATTTTATTTCATTTTAATCGTTTTGCAGGAAGATTACCTAAATTTTATTGCTAGGTTGGTGCTTCACATAACCCAACTAAGTATGTACTTCGTTATACCTTGTCAAAGATAAACTTTACCATTTTCATGCATTATTGAATATAAAACATTCTAGATAACAAAAAACCTGCTGGTACAATGGCTCCTAACAATGCAACAGTAGGGGTGCAACAAGGTATGCCAGATCCCATTGGAGCATTGCAGACTTTAGCGCGCCAGGGTACTGGGAATAATACTAACATGACAATGCAAGTCCCAGTACAAAATTCACAAAATATGGTTCCTCAGCAAGCTCAAGGTCCTACTACCAATCCCAACTGTGAGTATAGAATACTAACATTGGTCAATTGAAAGTCAAAAAGCATCTTAAAAGTTAAAATAATTAATCCATACTTTGCGTTTTTTCAGTGCTGCAAACTTTGAATCAACAACCAGGCCAGCCCATGAGCATGCCAGTAATGCACAATAAGATGCCGGGTCAACCTGGCTGCCCTCCAATGGGTCCAATGCAAAATATGCAGACTAACCCCATGATGGCTCAAATGAATCAAATGAATCAAGCAAATATGGGACAACGCATGGGACCTCAACCTGGACAACAGTTGGGTGTACCTCAAATAAATGTAGCACAAATGGGACCTAATCAAATGCAAGTGATACAGGTAAAATGTGTTATCCAGAAGTATAATTTTTCAAAAGAAGTCAAATAGTTTTAAGGGTGATTATTATTTTAATATTTAAGAATCAGCTGCAAAATCAAATGGGGGGACATCAGTTGGGAGGGCCAATGAGTACGGGAATGCAAGCACCACCACAGCAGCAACACATGAATCAATTGAATCCGGCGCAAATAGCTGCAAATCAGTTGGCACAGGCACAGCTTGGCCACATGCAGCGCAAGGTGAGAAATGTCTGTTTTTTTATTTAGGGTATTTGTAGGAAAATCTTATCAAATAACCATTGTAGTGAAAATGCTATCAGATGTTAACACACAAATCACAATGTATCCATCCCGAATTATCATTTTAGCCAGTAGATATGATGACAAGCGGATTTCCAGGGCCTAGAAATGTAACTCCTAATCAATTTTTGCGTCAAAGTCCGAGTCCCTCAGCCCCTAGTCCAGGAGGGATTGGCGTTTCAACATCTACGAGGCAAGATATTGTAACATTAAATAAGACTAACAGTACTTATAAACGGGACTCATTTTATTTTCCAACTTATTAATAGCCAAATGGTAGCATCCCCTGCTTTGGTAGGATCACCTAATCCTCAACACATGCTTGCAACAGCACAGAGGCCAATCAGTAAGTTAAATCTATGATTCGAAAGTTAACATGTAATAATTATTGCTGATGACAAATTTCTACATTACTGTCTGCAGCAATGGCTCCTTCACCAAGTAGTTCTCTTAATACACCTGCTGGTGCACTTGGCGCTACTCCCAGTCCATTGCAAGATGACCAAATTTCACAAGCTTGCAAGGAAAAAATTCAAAAGCTCCGTAAATTTATAGATCCTTTGAACAAGATGATCATCAAACTGACCAATGAAGGGTGTAAGTAAAAAATAATGTGTACATTTGAATGGAATTTTCGTTTGACGATTGTTTTCATTTTAATTGCTTTTTTTCATGTAGATACAGAAAAAATAAGCAAAGTAAAGAAGCTTTTGGAGATCTTGACCAATCCCAGCTCAGTTACCAAGCTAGATGTTTTACAAAAGTGTGAGGTTGTTCTCGAAAAAATGGAACTTAAGAAATTTGAAACAACCACGGGTCCCCAAATACCTTCCAGTTTAAAGGAGCATTATTTTCTCACTCCTTTACTTGAAGTTGTTAACACTATTTTGCAAAATCCTGTAGCCAATCACACACTTCATAGAACATTTAGTCCATGTGTCGAAGCCCTATTTGGACCAGAGATCAAGGACCTTCCTCCAAAGCCCAAGAGGAGAAAAGTCGAAGAACCTACCAGTGAAATACCAGATGTACTTCAAGGAGAAATTGCTCGTCTTGACCAAAGATTCAAGGTGAGTTGAGAAAATCAACTATTGCTAGATTTATTATAATCATTTTGATAATTGTTATTTGTTTAAAAAGGTGAGCTTGGACCCAGCCCAACAGAGTGGCTCCAAGTGTATTCAGTTGATTTGCTGGCTGGACGATAAGCACTTGCCCTGCGTGCCTCCTGTGCTTGTAATCGTGCCTATGGACTATCCGAAAGTTCCTCCTAAATGTGTGCTCGCGTCTCACGAGTACGCAACACCTTATTTGAGTGCAGTGCAAAACGCACTAGACGCTCGTCTTGACAAACTTCCAAAACAATTTTCCATATCTCAGCTCTTGGATACGTGGGAGACTAGTGTGCGCCAAGCTAGCGCACCTAAATTTTGCCAGCAACAAAAGCTAGAGCTTCTAGAACATGTGACTTTAGCAGATACCAGTACTACTGTGACAGCTACCACGACGACTGCGGTAACAACTACGACAGTACTGAGCACAACTGTACCAGTCGCAAACGGGTTGACAAGTAGTAATTTAATTACTACCGCCAGTTCCTAAACTTGCGATCAATGAGACTGATCAAAGATCTCTTTTTATTTTTCATAACTTTTTTTTCAAAAATTATCATTACAATCGAATTGAATTAATAACAGATTGTAGTTCCTTTTTATAAGTCTCATTTAATAATGTGGATGTTTTTTATCCTCAATCATTTTAAGTCAATGAACAAGTCTAGAATAGTGTACGGAAATTGACTTTTAAAAAATTTTCTAAAGTATTTTATACAAAGATCTCATCAGATTATATAATATTATATAATCTTATAACTAAAGTATTACATGTTTTATGAATGTAAATATGTATCAAATACAAGAGTGGATTTTTTAATAGTGGTGTATTTGTTACAAAAATGGATAAGTTCAATTCTTGAAATGTGTATTTATTTATTGACAAAAAATATTTAAATATTGCATAAAGTAAAAGTATGTATGCATGTATATCTGCGTTACAAACTCTTTCGATATCTAGTATTATTGTTTTGTACCGCATAAATATAAGGCTGATTGTATTTATAAGTAAAACATTTTCAAGTGTGAACCGTTTACAAGTATTTTATATATTTTCCTTGATGCATCTTAATTTATAGAAATAAAAAATATCTTTCTCAACTTATCAAATACAAATTACAAGACCTTGTGATTTATTATAAATAAATCCTTCAAAAAATACTTTAAACACTATAAATGAGAAAAGTCGAACTCAGCATTTAAAGTAAAAATACATGTATTTTCTATTTTTCTTACCAATTATAAACCAGCTGCAATTAATCTATTAGATAAAAGTTAAAAAGTTGACACTGTGCTATTTGCGGCAAATTTACAATTTACCTTTTACCTGAAAATCTTTCGACATACGTATTTATACTTTTGGAGGTCGATTTTCGGATAAAACATAAATTGTAAACTTGCCGCAAGTAGCATGGACAATATCAACTTTCTATTTTATATTTGTAAAATTAGTTGCGGCTGGTTTATAATTAATTACATGGCTTTGCTATAAGTACAGTGTTAATTATTTGGATCAGCGCCATCTAGCGTTGCGGATTTCTGAACTAAAAAGTGGCCCTAAACTTTTGAACCAAAGCTTTAGCGCTTAGAGACACTTAACTTGTTATAAACCAGCCGCAACTCATCTTGTAGCTATAAAATAAAAAAACAACGATACATGTGTTTTTGGCGGCAAGTTAACAATCTATTTTCTACCAAAAATTGACCTCGTGTGTATTTATACTTTTGAAGATAAATTTTTAAGTAAAAGATAGATTGTTGACTTGCCGCCAAAAACACATGTATAATTATTTTTTTATTTTATAGCTACAAGATGAGTTGCGGCTGGTTTATAATAAGCTAAGTAGCTCCAAGCGCTAAAGCTCTGGTTCAAAAGTTTAGGGCCACTTTTTAGTTCAGAAATCCGCAACGCTAGATGGCACTGTTCAAAAAAAATTTATTACTACTTATTACAGTAATGTCATATAATCAATTATAAACCAGCCGCAATTAATTTTGTTAGTGTGAAATAAAAAGTTAACGGTATTTAGTTTATTTGCGGCAAGTTTGCAATCTATCTTTTACCTGAAAGTATAAATATGTAGGAGGTCGATATTCGGGTAGACGATAAGTTTCAAACTTGCCGCAAACAGTACAAATTAAGTTAACTTTTCATTTTATACTACAAAATTAATTGCGGCCGGTTTATAATTGATTATATGACACTACTTTAATAAGTAAATAGTAATAATTATTTTGGATCAGCGCCATCTAGTGGTCTTTATTTTTTGGCCAAAAGTGGCTCCTAAAATTCTCAATCAGAGCATTCAGGATTAGAGCAATTTACTCAATTATAAACCAGCCGCAACTCATGACGAAGCTATAAAATGAAAAAATAATGATACATGTGTTTTTGGCGGCAAGTTAACAATCTATCTTATGCTTGAAAATTCATCTTTAAAAGTATAAACACATAGGAGGTCAATTTTTTGGTAGAAAATAAATTGTTAACTTGCCGCCAAAAACACATGTATAATTATTTTTTTATTTTATAGCTACAAAATGAGTTGCGGCTGGTTTATAATAAGCTAAGTGTCTCTAAGCGCTAAAGCTCTTCTTCAGAATTTTAGGGCCACTTTTTAGCTCAGAAATCCGAAACACTAGATGGTGCTGATCCAAATAATTATTACTACTTATTACAGTAGAGCTATTTTGTCAATTATAAACCAGCCGCAACTAATTTTATATTTATAAAATAAAAAGTTAATTGTGTTTGTGATTTTTGCGGCAAGTTTAAAATTTATATTTTACCTGAAAATCGACCTCCCAAAGTATAGATAAGGTGTATCCATAATAATTACATACACCTGCGTCAAAAAAAAGGCGTCGTCATTGAATAACCAAAGTAATCTCGATTGATCACACGCGACAAGTAAGTTATTCCGCTTATTCGGTAAGGAGATAGGATCTCTTGGGAGCTCCTTGCCATAATTATTCTTAAAATTTATAGGATTAATTTTCCTATACTCAAGTAATCTCAGTAATTCGTTCCGGTTTCCGTTTGCATAGGTGCATTTCCTGCTGTTACTTTTTTTTGAAACAACGAAAATGGTAACTGGACGAGCTTTGCACTTTGTTTTCAAAATCGCTGAGCGCAAGCTCACCGCCAAGTTTTACCGAGAGGTCCTTGGTATGAAGGTTGGTTGGACCTTTTGATCGTGTTTTAATTAATCGCTTTGATTTACAATGTTAACTTTCTTTTTTGTGAACAGGTGCTGCGTCACGAAGAGTTCAGCGAAGGCTGCGAAGCTGCTTGCAATGGGTACGTTGAATCTTGTTTGTGATGACTACAGTCTGGATGAGTTGCAGCAACAAGTAGATAACGAGTTAATTTTTTTTTACTTTTGCAGACCGTATGCTAATCGATGGAGTAAAACTATGATTGGATATGGTCCAGAGGACACGCACTTTGTCGTTGAGTTAACGTACAACTATGGTGTAAGCCAATACGAAGCTGGCAATGATTTTCAAGGTATTACTATTAGATCTAAGGAAGCCATTGAGCGAGCTAAGAAACATAACTGGCCTACCAAGCAGGAGGATGGCAAATGTGTATTGGAAGCACCTGGTGGTTACAAGTACTACATTATTGATGAACCTCAACCCACTGATAAAGGTTTTTATATGTGCTTCAAATGTTTTGTAAACTCATGCATGTTATTGCACCAAGTAATGCAATATTAGTTTTACAAGTATCGTAGTAACTGTACTTACTTTTCGCCATTTTTTTTGTTAGATCCTGTTCAAAAGGTTTCTTTATCGTGCTCAAATCTCAAACGGACTATTGCCTACTGGAAAGATATTTTGGAAATGAAGCTAGTTGAAGAGAATGCCAAGACAGCTATTTTGCAGTATGGTGATAATCAAGCCAAGCTTGAATTTAAAGACATTGGTACATTTGTGTTTTTTTACATGTTGCATTTATATAGTATAAATAGGAAACAAAACCTCAACATTTCTTTTGCAGGTACTGCTGTGAATCATGCCAAAGCCTATGGGCGCATAGCGTTTGCAGTCCCAAAAGCTGAACAAGAAGGCATTCGCCAAAAAATCAAAGAGAGCAACAACAAAATTTTAACCGATTTAATAAGTCTTGATACTCCTGGAAAAGCTACTGTGACAGTGATAATTCTAGCAGATCCTGTAAGTATTATTTCACGATTTACACGTTAATTTTGAAGACAGATGTTTCATTTACTTGTTTATTTTTCGAAACTAGGATGATCATGAGATTTGTTTCGTTGATGAGGAAGGCTTTAGGCAGTTGTCTGTTCCTGATTATCCAAGCGAGGCGATTTTGGATAGATTCATTAAAAAAGAAGAGGATAAAAAATTGTAAAAGTACTTATGTCAAAAATGTCGTGAGTTCATATTAATAATGAACAAAACTTAAGTAACAACTCTTTCGTAAGATATTGTATTAATGAAAGTATTTTTAAAAACTTTATTTGGATTCCATTTTTCTTATATAACTGTTTGTTATGATTGTTATGATAATAAACATATATTTTATGTATTTATTTAAATTTATTTGTGTAATGACAAATTCTTCTCCACAAAATTACTATTAACATAAAAACATAAAAACATAATTTACGTAAAATTATTTTTTGATAAAAAACCAATGGTAATAATGTTAACAACTTTTAACTGCTGATTATCAAAAGTGGTAATTAAATATTTTAATAGCAGTGACAAAATGCTATTTGGACCTATACATTGGGTACAAATAAAATATAAAATGATGAAAAGTCTTGCTATTGATATGCAGACGATGATTCACTTCTTCGTAAGGGTACGATTTTTTAAGGCACCAAAATTTAATCTAGTCTGAAACAAAAAAGCATTATATAAGTACATTAGGCAGTGCAATTGCATATATAAAACGTGAAAGTATATGAAGTACATTCCATGTGAACATTATTTTCACTATCGTTTAGTGTGTATTTTACAGTTATACGCGTGCCATTTAATGGCCAGACATTGCTACTTGCCGGCCACTGGCGAGAATAGAATTCAAATAAATATTTATACACGTGGAAATAAATAATACAAAAGCAAGCGAGATCGTGCTAAGAACTCGCGCACGCTTGTGTCCAAAACTCGAAGACACTGCGCGGAAAGCCCGAATACATCTAACGTTGAAGTTTTATTTATTTAATAAAATATTAAAAGTGCGGACTAGTAAACGCACCGGGTCATTGGGGATTAGCCGCTTGGGGTTTTATTTATTTAATAAAATATTAAAAGTGCGGACTAGTAAACGCACCGGGTCATTGGGGATTAGCCGCTTGGGGTTTTATTTATTTAATAAAATATTAAAAGTAATAAATGTGAAAACATTATTTTCAGATTAACGATTTACGTATAATTTCCAATGCGTGAGTACTCGTTAATCGTTATGAACGAATACCGTTTATTATTATTACGATTTTCAAATGTAAAGTATCGTGTTTAAATCGTGTAAATTTATTGTCAATGTATATTATTCAGTTTGAGTAAAAGTTGTTTGCAATGCTGTGATGAATGGGTCTTGATATCGTAATTTACTGGAAAGTCGAAACTAAACCAAACCAATAAAAAATCTGTTCTACAGTAAACAAAATTATCACGAATATAATACGAGTGTTGCAACGTACGTCTTTTCCGTTTGAAGAAGGAAATACTTATTACATTTATGTATTTGATCACCACGAGCTAAGCGCTCGATAAAACCCAACGGGAGTCTGCAGCTCGATTTCTGGAGAAGATAAATTCAAACGGCAACAATAAATCGGTATTGTATATAATATGTATATGAAGACCCGTTGCGATAATTTGCCCAACGTTCAAGTAGGTATTTCGATCGTAAAATACACAAATCGGCGATTAAACCGTAACCGATCGATACCTGCAGTGTAAAGTACGTGCGATAGAGTCCGATCGGTCAAAGCAACGCGCTCACGATCTCCATGATCACATGGAGGTTGCGCCCCTCTACCGTGTCCAAGAGAGCAACAAACATCAGTATGCATCACGTATACCAGTTCTCTTTCTCTCTCGCCATTTCACATGTAGCTTCCATATAAATATGTGTAGGTGCGATTCCCGACGTTTCATCAATCCTCGGTCGCCCAACCGATTCTCTTCTCAGTATCGTTTCAGACGCGCGCGCGAGTCCGATCGCTCCCAAAAGTGTGTACATATACAGTACACCCAACAGAACGAGAATTCATAGTTTTTAGTGCTGGCGTTTTTTAAATTGGTGCACAAAGTACGAGCAGTGGGTGGATAATGGCTCGCCGGACGATTCTGGCTGGCGTTTTTGTTTTCGCTCTGCTGGCTACGGTGCTCGGTGAGTTGTTTGCTCGGTCGAACACATACTTATATACATTTATATACATTTTTTTTTCTTGCTTTAGTTTAGTAAATAAATTGTTGACTTGCCGCCAAAAACACATGTATCGTTGTTTTTTTATTTTATAGCTTTATCATGAGTTGCGGCTGGTTTATAATAAGTTAAGTGTCTCTAAGCGCTAAAGCTCTTCTTTAGAATTTTAGGGCCACTTTTTAGTTNATATATATTATATGGTAGATACATATATTTAGATTTTATACAACAATTCGATCAAGTACGAATTTTTTTTGCCCACCTAATAACTTATGGTTGGATTTCGTAGCTCCAAACCGAGATGACATCATCAGCTAACTGCGTACATGGATTATCCCAACGTTCATTAGATTCGATAAAAATATTAATACGGATAAAAATTATATTTGCTTGAAAAAAAAGGCCAACTAATATAATTTTGGTTATCAGTCTTGACACTAGTAATGTGCATAATTTTGTTATTGTCACGTTGACTATTCGTAAATTATTGAAACTTCAAGGGAGTTGAGAATGACGTATTTTTCTTGAACTTGTATATATTTTTGGACGTTGGCTGTGCCTTCGGTAGGAAAAGCAGTGCTCGCAACCCAACCAAGGCTAAGTATATATCCAAAAGTCCTTGCACGGGGATACCCAAGGTGGAGATGGCGCTGATGCGACGAAAAAAACTACCTACTAAGATTTTTTTTTTTTTTTTTCAAGGGACACGTGTCAATTTAAAGCTCAAAGTATTGTTCTTTTGACTGAATATTTACTTAAAAATGCATGACGCCTACACGCATAAATAAAATCGCGCGGTTACTCTCACACAATAAATACCATAACAAATAACAATGTAAAAATTCGTATTTTTCACGCATCGGTTGGATTCCACAAATAGATCTGTGGGCAAAAAAAAAAAAAAAAAAAAAAAAATCATTATATCCATCAAACATATGGTTGAGTAAAAGATAAGATACCCACAAGTATACATATTTTGAAAAAAAAAAAAAAAAAAAGTAAAAGCTAATTGTTACAAAGAAGTTGAAATGATAATAAAAAGGGGGCAAAGCCATACAATAAGATCACACAAGCGAAACGAGAAAGCTTTGGCTTTCGTCGGCTCTTTTACTGCACCAGCGTAAGTAAATTGATCGAGTTCGTCTTCGTCGTCGACACAAAAACAGCCTTTTGGCGCGTGTATCATGGAAGCTATGTACTTAATAACCGTTTGCGTGCACTCGTACGTATACATGTATCTACAAAGAAGCGCGCGACAGAAAGAAGTCAAAGTATATATAATGACACCCTCGAGCGAAGACACAGGCGCACTTACAAACGTATTATTCAATTGACCGGCAGCGGTGAGCAGTTTTGTGTAGCGTACGTGCATACATACCTACAGGGTGTACATTAAGATACAAGTGCACCTATAAATGTGTATCAGAAACGATTCAACGAACATGAGCTTTAGCTGTTCGGGGTACACGTTTATTTTCATGTATCATAGCTACAAATAAATAGACGTCAACTTCGATTGCGGCGATCCGCAGAAATATATATTTTTCGTTTTGCCAATCAACCATGCAAGCTCTTGATTGGCACTTTACTCGTCGATCGCTTCCTTCCCTCTATTGCTCAGGATCGCGCGTCCCGGGCGAGCCTTTGATCGCGTGCCTTCAATTTCACCCACGAGTCGAAGGACACTCATGTCGACCCTGATATACGATACGTGTGTAACAGTTGCGCGTATATTTTTGGAGGGACAATTTTCACATTGGTGCCAATTGTCATGGGTTTTTATTAATAGTCATGATGACGAAGGTCGTCACAGAGTATGTAGTAATTTTACCGTGTCACGTGTTTTTAAAAAAAGAAACGGACGATTGCTCGGTTCGATTACAAAAAAAAAGTATCCCCTATAGTTTCATGAGAGTACATTTCGTGATTAAGGATGAGCTACTATATATACGTTCCCCTTTTGGTTGTCAGACCCTCGCGGTAGATTTTTATAGTTGAAGAAGCTACGTGTACTCCTAGTTTCACAGAAGTATTTCCTGTACTGGTACATAAAACAAACTCGTTTTCCATAACTACGTCCAACGCGATAATCATTAAGTAATTAGAATTTTGAGGTGAAAAAGTGAATTGCAAAGCTACAACATATTTTGTTGTGACCAAAACATTTTTGGCCGTAAATAATCACGTCAAGAACAACTGGTGGTGTGATATAAGTTGGTATGTATATAAAATAAGAGGCGGATGTGGGCACAAAACAACATAAATCATATGAGCGGTAATTACAATTACCTCGAAATAAAAGGAAACCGATTGAAAAACGTGCGAGGGCCGCACCGTAGTTTCAAAAAATTGATGAACAACGAGAGCTTCGTTATTCATGTTGTAAAGTTTGTTGCTTTGCGAAATAATGGAGAGATATACAAATAAAAATAATTCCAACCAGTTTGTCTTTTAAGATGCCTCGATTAAAAAAATAAAATAAAATAAACAATCAAACAGAAAAAGGTAATAGCCATGAAAAACCCAAGAAAAAATAAAAACGGGAAAAAACAAAAAAACATACTTAACTCGACGTAAGAAACGATTTTACAAGACTCGCCTCGCCGAGATTCCGATCTTTTATTATTGCACAAGTGTACGCGCTCGCGATCGTCCATAAAAAAAAATTAAGTTTGCAAGAGGTGCAGACTTTTTGATAGACCGGCCTATATAGGCGGGGATCGCGTTTTTGCTCCAGCGCTTCTCGCGGCGTGAGTCATAATTATTAATTGCAGGACTTGTGTAACGAGCGCAAGTATACGTGTATGGGTGCGCGCGTGTAAGAACCGTACTTGTTTTAATGTTTATTTGTTTATTTGATTTTTTTTTTTTTTTCTGATCACTTTCAACGTTTTTGATTGATCGCAGTCGAAGACATCGATGCCAGAAAAACGAGCGGAGGCAGTCGCAAGAGCGGCAGTAGCTGGGGATGGGGATCGAGATCGACGCCCAAGACGCAACAGCATCAGCACGGTAAGAACTTTTTTTTATACATTTGTTTATTTACTTTTTTTTTTTTTTTATTATTATTATTAGGCGATAAAATCTCATAAAATACGGGAGTTGAAAAGCTTTCCGATCGTACTTTGCGTACACCAGTTGTGGTTTCGATTCTTTACTCGATGATATTACTTGGGAATTAAATCGAGGGCCCACAAATATTGTACGTACATGCTTTTGATTCTCGATCAAGGACAATTGCTCGCAAGTGTATTTTCAATCTGACCGATTATGTAATATATACGCTAAGCTCCCTTGGTACATGTGTATAGCGCTCTGACACGCTTGCGATACGTGCTCCCGTTTATCTCGAGTGAGTGAAAATCCCTCGCGTATATGTCAAAGAGATAATAGTACACAATATGCATCTAAATTATCCTCTTGGCGATAAACCGGGAGAAGTTGAAGATATATATTACTCGAAAGTGGAAGTGTTTTTTATCTAACCGAAAAAGTGTAAATGCCATTTTAATAACGATCTCGTGCTTCGGATGTTGTTTTTTATTTCGTGTAGGAACCGGTTCGATCGGCTGGAGTAACCCGTCAAATCAAAAGCCAGCCAGCTACCCGAGCAGCAACCCCAAACCTTCGGCACCGGGTAGCGAGCATATTTCCAAGAGCAGTGCGACGAACGTACACTCGAGTTATCCGCAAGGTATTACATATGCAACATGTGTATACAATAATTATCATGTTACCGATCTTGACTCTTGTCGTATGTTGCAAATAAAAATAAAAATATGAATGAAAATGAATTTAGGCAACCCACCGCCGTACAGCCCGTCCGGGGGTTACCACGGCGGCAATCCACCGCCGTACAGCCCGGCCGGGGGTTACCACGGCGGCAATCCACCGCCCTACAGCTCAGGTGGCTACGGTCACCCACCACCTTACAGCTCGGGTGGTTACGGCGGTTACGGCGGCTACCAGCCGGCTGGTGGCTACGGTGGCCACAGTTTCAGCAGCATGCCGGGCCAGGGCTACAACCCGTCGTACGGGCACTCCTCGATGGGCAGCCAGCCTCAGACTGTGATCTTGCAGTCCCAGAAGCCGGGCATCGGCCAGCTCGCCAAGGAGGCCTTTGTGTTTGCCGGTGTGAGCGCAGGGGTCAACGCCGCCGTCAACAGGATTCTGCCCGGTAAGTCCTACACCTCAGGCGCTCCTAAAAATCGCCAAAGTCGTGTACATCTAACAAAAATATGGCCCTCAAATGACAGGTGGGATCTACGGTAACAGCCACAGCAGCTCGAGCGGCGTGGTGCCACCGGTCTCCCACACCCAGATCACTTACAACAATTACTACAACAACGGGACGAGTGGCGACTCTCCCGCGGCGGCTGCTCCAGCTGCTACAGTACCCGTGGCCGCGGCGATGACGCCCAATGCCGCGCCAGCCCCGGCTGCCGAGGCCCCAGCTCCGACCAACGCCGCGCCCCAGCCGCTGCAGCCGAACGCCACCACGGAACCTCCTCCACCCTTCGGCATCCCCGACTCCGAGCTGCAGAAGGTCACGGAAAATCTATTCGGTAAGGACGCGAACAACGCCTTCAAGCACATCACCATCAATGTCCAGGGACAGAAGACGGACGACAGCACGACCGACGACGCTTCGGAGAAGTGAGCAGATAGTATTTTGTATACATGAGATGCATACAACGTATTACTTGTATGGTTCGATAATAGGGATATAATAAACGAGGCGTGTAAAAACACATTATAGCCTGCTGGAGGTGAAGCCCGAAGCTTGGGACATCCCGACGGTCAAGTCGGTGCTGGCTCTGCACGACAATTACGAGTTCGATGTCAGGACCAAGGAGACGGTCACGTCGGAGGAGCGCAAGGAGGAGGCAGATTTGATTGACGCGTTCATGGAGACCGACGTGATGAAGGAGACGATGAAGTACCTGGCCGAGAAGGGTTTCGTGCCGAACGACGAGTACGAGTTCAAGGACACCCTCAAGCGCATCTGGTTCTCGCAGTTCAAGCGCGTGGACGGCGAGCCCTCGAGCTCGGGCTTCGAGACCGTCTTTCTGGCTGAGAAGTTCGACAGCGAGGTCATCGGGCTCCACGACTGGATCTACTTTGCCAAGCAGGAGGAGGCCAAGAAGCTCAACTACCTCGGCTACATCAAGAAACTCGACCTTGGCTCCGTAAGCGTGCAGATTCAGTACAATACACGTGTACTATGAAATGTATATATGCGCGCATGGTTCATACGTATGATTTCATTTACAGAACGGTGCAGTGATAAAGGGCCGCTCCTCGTTGAACGGCAACGTCCAGCCGATCACGACGATATTCGTCGGTACCTCGCCCGAGCTCGAGATGGCCCTGTACACGCTGTGCTTCTACACGCGGCCTGGAATCGTGTGCCCGGTGTCCCTGGGCAACGGTAAGGTCATCATCGTCGTCAACCGTGTCAACTACTTCGGCAAGGACATCCTCATTTCGGCCTTCCCTGATATCTAATCGAATGAGGAGCTTTCTGTGCTGTCGATCCCTACACCGACATATATAATTGAAATGTTTACGTACATCTTTTTTTTTTTTTTTTCTTAATACTCTCTCGATCGTCAATGAGGAAAGTTTATTAGATGATCAAGCAACCATGTTATTACGATAGTTGTAAGAGTTTTTTTTTTTTTTGTTTTTTCTTATATATGTTCTTTTTGTTGCATAGTGCATGCAATGTACGTATAAAAAGCCTATTTTAGTGTGTCAAAAGTTTTTAACGCGAATACTATAGATTTTTTGTACATTCCTATGTGATATAATATTTTTTTCACTGTCTGTTTTTAATAGAATTCCATTAATGTAGATCGTTTTTCCTTAGACGAACGAAGCTACAAGCATCCAAAACACTTTTTTTTTTACTAAGATAAAATATACCCAAACTTTTGATGTTTGTAATGTTAACTGGATAGTTTTGCCAATTAGTATATATAAAATAAATAATATATTCAAAGAATTAAATGGATACGAAGAATAAAAAACATACCTTCACCGGAGGCTTAAGATTCCCTAGATCAGTCAGGTCTATCAAAGGTACGATTGACGGTCTCCCATGAGCGCAGCGAGTCGGGGCTTTGGTATCTTGCAAAGCTTTGATAAGAGTCGTACACTCCTCAACGTTAAGGGGATCACCAAATTTAATTGCTCCTAAAAAATTTTTTCCACTCGAACGTAGCATAATCTCTGAAAAAGCTATACATTCGAGAGATGTAAAATTTTGCACATACCATGGCAAGCTTCACTGGCTATGATGTTATTTATAGCGATTGGAAGCATAGGCAGAATCGTGCACTTTGATTCTGCTATTCCGTTAGCTATTTCCAGCAGCAATTGTCGAACGTTTTTTATCAATCTGTCAAAGTTCAACTCATGATTGTAACTTTTTACCTTCTTAAGGAAACACTTTGGCACCCGGTCAACTGTGCACGAAGTCGAATTTACAATTGACGTGAGGTGTATCCCAACGTTGATCAATAACTTTCTGTGTTGGGCAAGAATTTGCAGCGATTCGCTGTTCATGTCCGATATAAGAAGATCTCCTCTTAATTTTTTCGCGAAAAATCGATAACTCTTTTTATCCCTGTAGCCTGAAAACACGAAAAACTTGAGTTTAATTATGTTTACGAGCATCTAGAAGATAGTTTATTAACAAAAAAAATAAAAAAAAATAAAAAAATTAATTACTGTCGATGAGCCACTCGTATCTAATCCGTTCGTGAACTGCGTGCTGGTCTATTAGGATTAACAGTTTTTTTCCGCTCTCACTCGTTATAGCAACTATAAATTCGTTGTTGATCTGTCTTAATATCTACAATTAAAAATTGCTCATTCGATATACTTGAAACGCTATACAATGAATCGATTGTATTTCAAAATATACACAAATCACCTCTAACGAATCAATCGTATCCTTAGACACTTGAAATTTGCTTCGAAACTTTATCTTGCTGAGCCAATATCTGATGGTTTCCATACTATATTGCGAACACCCACCATTCGCTGTAGGACCGTCAAGCACACGCTCAGACGATGGAATCGCCGTTTTATTACCTTGAAGATTACGGGAGCACGGCTTACTTGACCAATCCGACCATACGGACAACTGGCTCAGGTTGATAAAATCGTTCTCGACGGCAGTAGTGGTGGTGGCGCCATTATTGCGAATCGCGCTGCAAAAAAGGCCACCGTCATTCGCATTGTTATTTGTTTCACGCGCCCCTACGTTATGCGGCGGCTTGTATGACCAATTGGACCATTCCGAGATGGGACTACAGACCGTGTCATTGCTGTCGTCAACGGCACTTTCGTCGTCATTCGTCGATTTATCCAGCAGACTACCGAATAAAAAGTTGTTTTGGCTGGCTTCTTGGTTTTTTGCGTCATTGTAATCACCAATACCTTCCTCGTCCGTTGATCTATCCAATAGACTCGCGAAAACGAAACAACTCTTTTGGCTCGACTCTAGCTTTTCTAATTTGCCAGAGTTGACTCGATTTTCCTCTTCAGTAAAAACCCGCAAACTTGATGATGCTTCGCACTCCGCGGCGCAGCCTATCGTTTGACGATCGGTACTGTGACTGCCTGTCATGTACTGAAAAACTTCCCACGTACTGTGAGGACTCGCGATGAACAGAAGCACCCGGTCTTGGTCGTCGTTTCGCAACGAAAACGATACCTGCACACAGTACGTGATTCTACTTTATTTTTAACATCTAAAAGAGCACATGCGAAAGTAATCATTGTAAGTTGAGCTGAAAACCGCACTTCCTCAATATACCTTCAGCTCCATGAGCGCGACGGCGGCAATGACGTATGAAATGGATGTGTTCTTGCACTCATCGTTGATGCTCCAGCTGCTGGATTTGAAATCATAAGCCGATACCGTGGTGCCAGTAGACGGCCTGTCGTAGCCCTTGAAAAACCTACGATCACCACTCGCGCTCACGATCTAGAGGAAAAAAAAAAAAGTAAAATACATCGCTGTAATCGCCGGCAAAATGTATTGCAGACTGGCGCTCACTCACGTGAACATAAGTATGGGGTGAGTACGCGCTTCTCGATGTGACGATCACGACGTCGGAAAGTGAGCGTGTTTGGCAAAACAAGTGTTTTCGCTCGCTGGGCTGGGGCTCGGCTCTAAAAATGTCGAACAGTTCCTGCTCGTCGAAGCCGATGCCGTTGTCGACGACTTGAATATTGTGCTTTTTGGGGTCGAAACGCACTGCGATTTTCGTGGCTTTTCTTTTTAGCGACGTTTTAACCTTAAACGTGGCACCGGGGGGGGGGGGAGAAAGAGGATCAGTGTTTGATTATTTTTGCAATCGTTCAATCATATGTATATGTTTTTTCACTTACCAATTTGAGTATGCATCCCTCGACACTTAAATCGTCCGCATTTGTGCTATTACTGAAAATACTTGTCATAATACTTGAATGTGATGTTTTATTTTGATATTTTTTTATACGGATACGGGAGTGCGAGAGTGATTATTGATCTTTGCAAGTTCTAAAGTTTAAATTAACAAACAACTAACCGCTCTCGAGAGCTTTTTTGTCTTACGCTCAATCGATACGAAAAAGAGTTTCCTCGATTATCGATAAGTGGTAAATGAGGACTTTTTGGGTGTTTATATTTTCCGTAATCGTGTACATACTAACGTACGGTACGGTTTCCGATCGGGAGAGCGACAGTGAATTCAAGGTCGTTGACTTACCGACCTGACGATAACGCACAACCTAAAATTACTGTTTAACGATAGCGGAAAACACCCTATGTGAAATTTTTTTTGGTACATCGGTAAATAAATTAATACATTTGTTTGTAAAAAATAATTAATTGTATTTTTTTTAACCACTAATAAATCTCAACTAGTATAAGTTTGTAAACTGAAAATAATCGTACATTTGTTCATAAATCTTGAAAATAAGTCATTTAATACACTACATGGAAACATTCAAAAAAAGAAAAGAAAATATTTCATAAATATCACGATGAAAATTGAAAAATTCATCATACGTACAATATCAAATTTGAGTGAAAATAAGAATACTGTAGTTATAACAATTTTGGCCAATCATAACGAAAATAACAAGTTTAATCAGTTCATGAGGCGCCAGTACTGATCAAATTGGAAGAAATGCTATTCGTGACACTTCCAGTGTTGGAAGGAACAGTTGTCGCTGCATCAGTCGATTCGTTTTCTTTCATAACTTGCGATGCTTTAGGATTACATGCTTGGCGCACACTCGTTTCCCAGGTATCCAAGAGCTGAGATATCGAAAATCGTTTTGGGAATTTAGCAAGACGAGCGTCTAGTGCGTTTTGCACTGCACTCAAATAAGGTGTCGCGTACTCGTGAGACGCGAGCACACATTTAGGAGGAACTTTCGGATAGTCCATAGGCACGATTACAAGCACAGGAGGCACGCAGGGCAAGTGCTTATCGTCCAGCCAGCAAATCAACTGAATACACTTGGAGCCACTCTGTTGGGCTGGGTCCAAGCTCACCTTTTTAAACAAATAACAATTATCAAAATGATTATAATAAATCTAGCAATAGTTGATTTTCTCAACTCACCTTGAATCTTTGGTCAAGACGAGCAATTTCTCCTTGAAGTACATCTGGTATTTCACTGGTAGGTTCTTCGACTTTTCTCCTCTTGGGCTTTGGAGGAAGGTCCTTGATCTCTGGTCCAAATAGGGCTTCGACACATGGACTAAATGTTCTATGAAGTGTGTGATTGGCTACAGGATTTTGCAAAATAGTGTTAACAACTTCAAGTAAAGGAGTGAGAAAATAATGCTCCTTTAAACTGGAAGGTATTTGGGGACCCGTGGTTGCTTCATATTTTTTAAGTTCCATTTTTTCGAGAACAACCTCACACTTCTGTAAAACATCTAGCTTGGTAACTGAGCTGGGATTGGTTAAGATCTCCAAAAGCTTCTTTACTTTGCTTATTTTTTCTGTATCTACATGAAAAAAAGCAATTAAAATGAAAACAATCGTCAAACGAAAATTCCATTCAAATGTACACATTATTTTTTACTTACACCCTTCATTGGTCAGTTTGATGATCATCTTGTTCAAAGGATCTATAAATTTACGGAGCTTTTGAATTTTTTCCTTGCAAGCTTGTGAAATTTGGTCATCTTGCAGAGGACTTGGAACTGCACCACCAATCATTCCAGCTGGAGTATTTAATGAGGTACTAGGTGAAGGTGCCATTGCTGTAAAGTTTATTGTTATTGTAACATCCAATTCACACTTTTGACAAAAGTGTTAATTATTTACCCATTGATCTTTGACTTCCAAGCATAGTGTGCTGTGGATTTGGTGAAGGTACCAGTGCAGGAGATGGAACCATTTGATTACTGCCTGGAGCACCTAAACCACTAGGACTTGGAGCAGACGGCGATGGGCTTTGGGATAGGAATTGATTTGGCGTCATATTTCTTTGTCCTGTATACGCAGGAGTCATCATCTCATTCGTCTTTAGGTATTAAATCAAAGAAATTAAATGTGTATTGAAGAAATGTAGAATTATTCGAAATATAAGTAAATTTTACTGTGTTTACCTTACGTTGCATGTGGTTGAGTTGTTGCGCCATTGGATTAACGTTCATTTGTGCAGTATTCATATGTTGTTGCTGAGATGGCGACTGTTGAGGCTGCATTGTAGACTGGATTCCAGGGTTCATTGTACCTCCCATTTGATGATTTTGCATTTGATTTTGCATCTGATTTTAGAAAAGTATGTTAAATCATTGAAAAAAAAAAAAAAAAAAAAAAAAAAAAAAATAGAATACCAAATGGTTATATAGTTGGAAATATCAGACCTGCATAGCTTGTTGTATTTGATTAGGCCCCATGGGAGGCCCACCAATTTGTTGACCCTGATTTGTCTGAGGTCCCATCTGAGGAGGCATGCTATTCGAATTCATCTGATTAATCTGATTTATCATTGGATTCCCCTGCATGTTCTGCATTTGACCCATATGGTTCATTCCCATTTGTTGGCCTTGCATCATGTTCATTCCAGACATTTTATTGTGCATTGCCTGCTGCATGGTCATTGGCTGTCCTTGACGTGGTTGCGTTAAACTTTGTAGTACTACAGAATTCCAACGAATTAAACATCCATGTTTATAAAATTATCTATTGATAACTTACAATTTGTCGCAATACCCCCACTGGGGCCTACTTGCTGACCCATGTTTGGTTGATTTTGGACTGGACCTTGCATTCCCATATTATTAGCGTTGTTACCGCTGCCTTGCATGGCAAGTGACTGTAAAGCCCTAATTGGACCACCCTGCATGCCCTTTTGTGCCGCATTTGGATTATTAGCTCCTTGCATTCCCATAGTACCAGTAGATTTTTTTGTATAATCTGTGAAATAAGAATTTTTTTCTTTTTTTCACATTTAATAAAAATCGCATTTGATCAAATATCAAAAAATAAATACTTTTGATGTACATCAGCAACTTGGCTATGTAATTCAGATAATCTTCTTTAGATGTTGATTTGCTATAAACATGACTTTCCATTTCCGTAACATTTTTAGCCATTGGAATTTGAAACTGTTGGATTTGCTCTTCTCTATATAAGAAAAAAATACTTATACTAAAGATGAAAATACGTTAAAAAAATTTATTTTACAAGGCCACACTAATTTTCAACCTACATTTTGTGTATCATGCTTTGACGGAATGTCGATGTTCTCCATTCTTCAGACATTTTTGTGGAGTGCCGTATCTGAAAACGATACATTTTTCATTAACCAATTATTGATTTGGATTTACCTCAAGTGATCCTTTTATTTTCCTATACTATTGTACAGAAATAGTAAACCAAATCTGTTGTGTCAAAGTGGAGTAAAATGTTTAAATAATCAACTGTAAAAGATATATTCGATGACACAGATTATAGGAAATAAATTTATTTAAATATGTTTTTCTGTAAATAACTTGATACGGTTATGGTCTTCTGAATACTGGACTACAACTCAAAATATTTCCACACAAAAGTATACATATCATTTTGAAATGTGCAACATTTTGAAAGTAACATCCTTTTATATAGAACCCAGACTTTCGCAAAAAATCAATGTACATGAATTACTTAAAGCAACAAAATTTTTAATGTTCAGCATGACTTTACGTTCAAGTTAACTTGCTGTTTAACCTTTGAAAATAAAAAAAGTAGCTTGAGTAAAAAAAAAGTGATACTTACCTCCCCCCTTAATGTAAATAATGTTAAAGTTGAAATGTCAACTGTACAGGTAAGTAGAGAACATATGATTGCAGAGAACAAGACGTGAAGACATTCGCCAATACTTGAAAACGACTCTGATTTTCCTCAATGGCTGTTGATATCTATTAGAAACCAGTTATAAACAGTAGTTATAACCTTAACTTAATAACTCAACGAGTTATGCATCAATAAATCATCTAATCCGCATAAAAAGAGAAAAAACACTGAAGATGTGCAAACAACTACGGTTGGCACACCGATATATATCAACAGGAGCTATATTTATCTTTCGATTAACTTGTGACTCGTGACTCGTGAGTGTGAAGACTGAGGTGACCGTCCTGAGGACAGTCGACGGAGTTGGGTGAAGAGGATTCCCGTTTCCCGTAGTGAAAATTACGGTCAGTAACATGAAAGTTACTGTCACTAACATACCATGTCAACAAAATTCGATGTTTTTTGCTGTTTTTACTCCCATGCCACCCGATATTCTGTTAAAGAGAGCACGGCGTAAGATATACGTAAAGTTAAATGTAGTAATACTAGTAATCACTACTAAGTATTGCCATATGGTCGATTTATTAAACTTAATAAGTAGAATATCTACATAATTTTGGAGGTCGATTTTTGAGTAAAAGATAAATTGTAAACTTGCCGCATTTAGCACAAAGATTGTTAACTTTTTATTTTGTATCTACAACATTAGTTGCGGCTGGTTTATAATTGATTGCATGGCTCTACTGTATAAGTAGTAATAATTTATTTGATCAGCGCCATCTAGCGGTCTTTATTTTTTGGCCAAAAGTGGCTCCTAAAATTCTCAATCAGAGCATTCAGGATTAGAGCAATTTAATCAATTATAAACCAGCCGCAACTCATGACGAAGCTATAAAATAAAAAAATAATAATACATGTGTTTTTGGTGGCAAGTTAACAATCTATCTTATGCTTGAAAATTCATCTTTAAAAGTATAAACACATAGGAGGTCGATTTTTTGGTAGAAAATAGATTGTTAACTTGCCGCCAAAAACACTTGTATAATTATTTTTTCATTTTATAGCTACCAAATGAGTTGCGGCTGGTTTATAATAAGCTAAGTGTCTCTAAGCGCTAAAGCTCTTCTTCAGAATTTTAGGGCTACTTTTTGGCTCAGAAATCCGAAACGCTAGATGGCGCTGATCCAAATAATTATTACTATACTTACAACAGAGCCATGTAATTTATTATAAACCAGCCGCAACTAATGTTGTAGATATAAAATAAAAAGTTAATATTTTTTGTGCTATTTGCGGCAAGTGTGCAATTTGTCTTTTACCTGAAAATCGACCTCCTAAAGTATTGATATTCTACTCATATGATTCAATAAAATCGTTTTACCCCAAAAACTTCCCAAAGATGTCTTTCAGATGGACATTCTACAAGACTTCTAGGTACAAGGAATCTTGAGAAAATGTATTTGCTGGGAAACTGGAAACTCGACCTATTCGCTCCGAGCCGATGCAGAGGTTGCGCCCCCTCTAGCCAAAATCAGGCAACATTTCTTGCATGTAAACAAACGGTTTAGAACATATATACATACGTACAGCTGCTTGTGATTGGCACTTGGCAAGTTAGAGAGAGAACGACGATCCTCTCCTGCTGTGTTATTCAGCCAATCACAAGCAGCTATACGCATGTATATAATTATGTTCTAAACCGTTTGTTTACATGCAAGAAATGTTGCCTGATTTTGGCTAGAGGGGGCGCAACCTCTGTATCGGCTCGGAGCGAATAATATCACTAGTGTTACTATTAGATAAAAGGGTACTTTTTAGTTCGAAATTAGCCGCGCGCGCGAGATGGCGCTAATTGTAAGCTTTTCATACAAAAACTCATTATCAATGATCAAAGTTTGGGCTACCGCAAACGTTAATTGTTTGTTTATTGTGTTTTAATACTCATTTCTTAAGTAATCATTTCTAACTGGTTTCTGGAGGTTCTTTCGAAGATATATAATGTTTAAATTCAATTTTGGCAAACAATCATCTGATTGTGGTAAATCTTACGTTTTATATCATTCGACAAATATATTTTTTTGAAGGTTACAATAAAATACGCGTACTGCATTATTTTAAATTTACTTTTTGAAAATGCAATTATTTTATTACGTATATCATGTGTACTTATTTGATTGTCTTGTTAGAGAACAAAGATCATTCTGGGAAAAAAAAAGACGAATTAACATGGCTTCCAGCTAAAAAAATTGAAATTTTATCAGACTGCGAAAATGTGGAATATCTAACGAATGAACGATTTGGCCAAATTGAATTAAAACTTGTTGATACTCTAGTTGTTGCATCAAAGCTTACCACAGATAAATGCAAGATCATTTCTGAAGCAGAGTCACAACATTCTGATCTAATCCCAGCCAAGTATGAAGGTATTGCTGCACTGTGTTTGAAAATCTTTTTTTAAGTTCGTGTTATGAAATAACAGATTATAATTTTCTTTTAGGTGGCTTAAAAATTTGGGAATGTACCTATGATTTGGCTAATTATTTGTTGAAAGAAAACGTTCCTTTCAGTGGTAAAACTGTACTAGATCTTGGTTGTGGAGCTGGAGTGCTTGGTTTAATTGCTCTTGCTCAAGGATCAACAGTTGATTTTCAAGATTATGTAAATATTATTGTGCTTTAAATTTAGTTTTTTGACAGAATGTGAAATTTTTTTATATTTCTAAATTTTCAGAATGCTGAAGTTATAGAGAATGTCACTATTCCAAATGTAATGATTAACAGTAACAGAGAATCAGCAGAAAAATGTAGCTTTTATTGTGGTGACTGGAAATCTTTTGAGAATCTTATAAGCAAAGATAGCAACAACAAACGTTACGATTACATTTTTACTAGTGAAACTATTTACAACTCAGACAATCACCAAAAGCTTTATAATATATTTAAAAGAACTTTGAAAAGTGATGGAATTGGGTAAGTATTTTTACAAAAATTTTGATGGTTTTTTTTATTGTTCATCTTGTGGTACAGAATATTTACAAATTTTTAAAAAATAGATATATTGCTGGCAAAAGTCTTTATTTTGGGGTTGGTGGGTCTATGAGCCAATTTGTACAATTAGTTTTGGAAGACGGAATATTCGATGTCTCAACAGTGTGGAAAAGTGAGATAGGTAACACGAATTATTGTCAATATTTTTACATTTAAACAGTTTCGCAATAATTTTTTCTTATTTGTTAGGTGTACAAAGAGAAGTCGTTAAGTTGCAAAGAAAAAACAGCGCTTAAATGCATCGAATTAAATTTGTTTGCAGCAATATAAATAACAATGTAAGTATGTAAAAATATTTGCATTTAAAACTAAATTTATAATGTTATATTTATGGGGAAAGTCTTTCATAAACCCAGCCATCTTCTCCTTGGTGAACCAAATAGTTATCTACTTTCTCATCAACCTTTGGTCGTCTAAATCGTATTCTGTCGTGAAGGCGATCACTTTGCCCTTGCCAGAATTCTATAGTCTTTGGAATTACTATGTATCCACCCCTGCAACCATTAAGAAAAAGTTTTCACGATGTGCGTATAAAAAACAATTTCAAAGAGAATCTAATGCATCTCAAAAATCTTACCACCACTCTGGTCTTTTAACTGTATCAGGATATTCTTTTTCCAACCGTTTTTCTTTTTCTATTAGAAATTCTCTGTTAGGTATAACAGTACTCTGTCTACTTGACACTGATCCAATTTGGCCATGATACGGCCGGCTGTTGAAGTATTCATCTGAATCTTCTGCAGACGTTTTTTCAACAGTTCCTTCTATCCTTACCTACCAACATCAAACGTCTCAATCAAACTATCAAAAAAATTAGCATCTTTTGAGTATTGTTTGTAGTAGTACCGTTCGTCTTAGAGGTTCCCAAAAAAATGCTAATGCAGCATTAGGATTTTCATCCAACTCACGTGCCTTGCGACTTTCATAATTTGTGTAAAATTTGAACCCATCAGTACCATAGCTTTTGAGCAAGACAGGTCTGACAGATGGCATCCCATCCCTGTTTTAAAACAATTATATGTATTAAGATTATTTTACAAATCACATGACAAAAAAAAATGTTTTTCACTTTGTAGCAGTAGCTAAAAACATTGCATTAGATTCAGCAATTCCAGGTGTTTTGCTGGCAATGGAAAACCATTCTTTAAACTGCCTAAATGGCTCCTTGCTCACTAAATGATCTTCTGTAAAAGTTTCGCTTTTCTCCATGTATCTGATTCTCATACCTGATAAAGTAAATTGATACATAACTGTCAGTGCTAGCATAGGTTTTTAATGGTTACACATGAATTTTTCAATTTCGAAGGAAACACGCATGAATATTGATTTGAAATCACTACAATAGCTTTTCAACACTTGAAGAGAAATAGTAAAATACTCTTACCTCCTATGTTAATACTGTAAGGTTTACAAGATTTAGCTTCGTTTGACGAATCTTTGCCTGTTGCACTAGCCATTTTCCACCTGTTACAATTGCCGTTTCCTGTAGCCAAACAACTGACGAGCAGTCTTTTGTTATTGAACCCTCCGAGCCTGAACAAGCGACGAAACGATACTGCCGTCAATACTGATTTGCATGCCATGCGACGCAACAACGTAGGTACATATACAACTGGCGCGTGACGAAGATGGCAATGACCTTGCAGATAAAGTTACGTTTATAAATGAAACAATTTTTTACTGCGAGATTATTTGCCAGATGCGTATGGAGGTACGTGTAATTATCAGTAAAAAGAAAAAGAATATAAAAATTGCGAAATAAACGTGGGATAGCCGGCTGTCTGATGATAAAATCGATGAAGTGCTACTTATAGTACCGATTTGTGTGTAAAATATGCCTTGGAACTGTAAGCTCACGTCAGCTGATTCAAAGTCCGTACAGTTATACTTATGAAGAGTGAAAGAGATGGGATGTATTATGGTGATAAAATAAAAAAACACATTAAACTCAGAGTTTATGAGACGCGCTTTTTTTATTTTTTTTTTATTTTCGATTGAAAGTTAGTTGACACCTGACTTTATTAGGGATTTTGTTATATTCATGTCGATATTCTCGAATAGTAATGACATTTAATTCGACAGTTCTTACTTAATTTACATGCAAGACCTTAAATTTTCAAATAAATAGTTTATGTGATGTATGGTATGATGAATTTTTATATTAATTGCGCCTCGATTTTTTATTTGTTCACAATGATTTCTAATATCTCTGTGATCGTTTATAAGATTTTAATTATTACTGTTTTTGTTGTTACATTTTAGGGTAATAGAAAAATTGGTGCATTGGGAAGTAAAAGCCTACTGAACATTGGAAAAAAAAAAAAAAAAAAAAAAAAACTAGAAGTATTTCCAAGTGCGAGGGTGATTTTGTTATTGATCGTAAATATATACAGCCCATAGGTACTGCTCAATGAAAGATATTTTTACTTTCGTCGATCCTCGGAGCGCGCTGTTGTTTCACCGTAGAAAACTTCTCTGTTGTAAACGTGTCGCGTACTGTTACCAGTTCAGCTGATGGTCGTCGCACTTCGTTTTTGTTTTACACTATCATTTCTCAGCTGGCTTATTGGAGGTTGTGTGTCTAACACACAGGGAGATGAAAAAGAGGTCAGAGGCTTATGTAACTTTGGATTACAGATTCCAACATCTTTATATTGCTGCTATTGGAGGTAAATAATTCGCGCGTTGTAAACGTCACTATTGCTCAAATTTTTTTTTCTTTTTTTTTTTACCGTCATTTTGTGCATGCATGTGTATATAAAGAGATTATTTGTGTATCGATTTTCGAGTCAAATAATACTATTAAAGCGTTTGAAATGAAATTTAAAATTTGTCCGATGGTCATCACTTGTTTCACAATTAAATGGTGTACAATTGAGTCTTTTAAAAAAAATGTTATCAAAATTAGAGATTACATTTCTAATGTTTTTATTATAAAAAAGTAGGATTACTTTTAAATTCATACATTTTTTTCAAGCTTAATAGATCGAGTAAAAAATAGTTTTTTTAAGAATTAAATAATGCCAAAGATTGTTATGTGATGATGATTAAACCAAGTTAGTTAGCCACAACGTTAATTGTTCAATGTCAGCTGGTGTCTCAGCATCTTTAATATAAGCACTACACTCTGCAAAATCGACTCTTCTGTCAAGATGAGAAAATTCGAAATCTCTTCCACTACTTCCTAAGTATGCATTTGAGGATGATGCATCTGTAGCCTCTAGTTGACTAGTTTTAGTTACCCTAAGAAGGTTAATTTCTTTCTCCAGTAAAGTCTTAATAACTCCACTGCTCTTAGCCAAAGTCTGATCTTGTTTGTTACAAAGAATCAGAACAGGAACATTTTTGTTGATTGCAGAGTCAGACAGTAATACATACAAGTATCTGAAATAAATTAGTTGTATTAATTTTAATTGAACGAATTGATGGATTGGTAATTGAACAAACGTTATCTTTTGAAATACTCACTCTGCAGCATCTCTGATATCTTTGTGAATACTTGACGAATCAATAACAAATACAAGCCCCTTGGCTGAGCCCTTATATTTGTCAAAATATTTGTAACGCAATCTTTCGTGTCCGGGAATGTCTACTATCTTGACAGAAGTCTGCAAATAAGTAGTCATTTTAGGTTTCAAATTGTGCCCCTTTACATAAAGTTAAAACAAACCTATGAGTTAAAGAAACTTACATTGTACTCAATGGCATCCCCAATGTTTTCTTTCACAGAAGTATGAGTCTGCACGTACTTGGTGTGCATCAAACGGGCGTAGATGAGAGTTTTGCCAACATCACATAGACCAGTCAGAAGAACATTATGCCCAACAGATACTCTGCGTCTCCATAGAGCAAAGAGTACTACTAAAAGCAATAAATGCGTGTTGAAAAAGTTATTTCATGTACAAAGTACAAACAGTTTTATCTAATTTAGCCTTAAGTGTTGAAAATTCATGAAAAAAAGGAGATGTAGGATTTAAGATAATGACAATTTATGCACAAACTTTGCAAGCTGGTAAAGTGACAGCAACAGACACAGGAAGCTAAGAAAACAAATGTATCTATTTTGTTACTATGTGTTCAACTACAACGTTATCATTGTCATTCTCTTAGCCCTAGTACTAATCTTTCTCAATTTCTTTAGTATTTTAAATATTTTGTACTACCTATAAATTACATGCAATGTGTCGCACAACAAAATTGCCATTTATAAAAATGTAAATAGAGTTTATATATGCACTTGTGTGCGCGACGGAGCCCTAACCTCTACACCATAAGGTTAATAATAACAATTGTCAAAGATCGTGTACTTTTGTATTTTATTGTCACTTACCTATTGTTATTATTACTGCAAAAACTGCCGCAATCACGCCCATCAGCTGGGCATCGCTGCCGTCGTTCATTAGTAACTTTACGCGCTCTTCCATGATTTTAACGCGCACTTTTTTATTTTTTTATTAATTTATTTGAAAAGAAAAAACGAAGTCATGTCAACAGCTGTTACATATACACGCTGTCGGTGTTTTGTGTGCCGCTGTCCGAGATTTAAGTAAGTACTAGGGACTATTATTGTCGATCGACCTAGTGAATCTTTCGTTGTAGTTGGTGGGGGTGGCCCCTCTTTCAATATTTTGAGCGGCAAAATTTTAAACAGAGTTGGAATTATTTTTTACAAGTAACTAAATATGTGAACACACAGATTGATCAACAAAAACAATGAAATCCGAATTGCGAACGATGCAGGCAGTGGATGTTGTTCTTTAAAATCTTGTATATTAAACGCTTTTACAGCTCAATAAAACGTTGTACAGGCGTAACCATAGTTTTGTTGTACTACATCAGAACAAATAATCAAAAAAATAGACTCATACAATTTTTAATCATATTAGTTGCATGATAAACCCGATTCTTAATATTTGATGTTTTTACAATAAACAAAAACGTTCGACAACAACCTACCGGATAGTCCACACGCAGAAGAGTTGAACAAAGATAAAAAAAAATCAACCGAGTCCTATCTCCTTGACTATCATTACTTACCAATTAGATTTCTTAATTGAGAGCGCAGCTGCAAAAAAAAAAAAAAAAAAAAAACCCCGAGCGTTCACAGCAACAAAGCGCTCTCGGACCCTCGAGCGCAAACAGTATCCTTGAACCTTTTTCTTTTGGCTTTCAGTTCTTAAAAAAAAAAAAAAGAAAAAAAAATGACTGTACACAGCAAGTGTAGGGTAGCGACCGAGCGCCCAAAGGTCAGGTTTACCCCCGGGAGGGGGGCTTCTTGGGATAATTATAGGGCCGGGAGGAAAAAATTTGCGGCGCGCCGAAGGAACAAAAAAAAAAAAAAAAAAAAAGTAGGTGCGCTTAGAGTCCGGTGTTGTATAGAGAAAGAAAAACGACGCCGTCGCTGGTGCCGATGTGGGTCAGCGGGTGTACGTATACGCGCGGGAGCCGAGTTTGTTTGGTCTTTTGAACTTTTTTTGTTTCGCTGTCCGGGAGTTTTCGAGCCAAGAAAATTTCCATCCTCGAATAATATGCATCAAAGAGTTGCAGATCAACCAAGCCTTTTTTGCTTTCACTGTAAATACAAGAAAAGGTGTAAGGTTTAACAAAAACAGCCTGAATTTCTGTAATTTACACATTGTATGATAATAATACGAGAGTAAGTACTCGAGAACATGGAGGATAAATATTTTTCAGAGCTGCACTCTTAAGTTGTAGAAAAAAAAAAAATCAATTAGGGTATGGGTGCATATTGGAGCGAAAGAAGATGAGGTGACAGAAAAATTCATCGCCTCCCGGCTAGATGCAACGTAAGTAAGTATAAAAAAAAGAGCGTGGGCCGTGCAGCATTAAATATATACGCTTACAGGCGGTTTATCGTCTCGCTTGGCTGCGGTCTATACCGTTTGCTCGTGCTTTCCTAATTTTCTTCCTTTCCTATAATACTCCTGTCAAGTGTTAGGTATAGCGATGTACACACTTTTCGCTACAGCCCAACAATATTCTTCCCTTTCGTTTTAACACAAGTTTATACGACACATTCTTCTTTTTGTCCCTTTTGCTGCATACTAAATAATTATAATGTATACATGCACAAGGGCTCAACTCTATAAATACCTTTACTTAGTACAGCGGGAGTTAGTTGCTTTTCCCTTCACAAAATACTGTATAACGACTCACCAACGTTGGCTCTCGTTTTTTTTTTTTTTTTTTTTGTGCATTCTCGCGTAGTCCCCGTGTGGTTGTCTTTTCCTACTTTTTTCGGCATAAATATGTGTACGACATATGGTCCCCCCCCCCGTTAAAATAAAAATATGAAGTACGCGTCTGTTTTTAACGCCTAGCTAATTCATACCATAAAGTAATAGTGAGTGATTCAAAGCTAGCCAAAACTGAATTTATTACAAAATGAACATTTATTTATTTACTTTTTTTTTCCCTAACAAACAAAAGCGTAAAATATTAACTTACCCTCTCTGACAATCATATAACTTTATAATATAATTTTGATGAATAACATTATATTGTCGAATCTATCATTATCTGCATTCGAAAATATATATCATCACACGCTCCGGAGCAAACCGTACTTCGCTTCCTGATGCCGAGCTCCAATGGATTTACATTAAATTATACAAACAATACAAACTCTTTATTCAATTCTACCTGCACGCACATGTATAGTTTTGCTTTTGACTCGGTATAAATAATTGAGCTCAGTTAAAGAACCCTCCTCTTTTTTTTTTAATTGCGAAGCGTACATAGGCACCTACTGTTCAGCGATCCTTGCAACCGCTTGAACGGTCAAAAAAAAAAAAAAAAAAAAAAATATTACGTAATTTAGCGAAATATTGCACACGTGTTGGCAATTTTGCAAGTGCAAATACACTTATTGCTTGCGTAATACAGAGACTGCTGGATGGGTGGCGCGCGCTATTCGGCGTATACCTATGTATTTACACCTCGCTTGTATATGTATTATATGCGCCGATGTACTTATACTTACACCGTATATAGTGATATAACTATAGGCACCTTTTATGAGTCACGCGAGTCGGCTGCGGAAAACAAACGGCTAAGTAATAGATCGAGCGCCTGGATTTTTCAGAGGTACCGATGTTGTAATGTAATTTACTGGGGCGCGCGTACTCGATAAAGATCACAATGTACCTATGTATCACCGAAATATTTTTCGAATAAATTTTAACTACAGAATCGCCCGAGGAGGAATTTTGTCTGGAGCAATAATACCTGTACTCGTGGGCACATTAATTGTTGTAAAAAAATCATAATTGACCGTTAGTGCTGTAGCATATAATGGCTTAAAGTAAAATAATCAACGTTGCACAGAGAGAGGATAATATACTTAACGTGGGTATGGATAATGGAGAGGCGCGTAGGAATCGTATAGGGTATATTATATTCGTAGGATGAGCTTCGCGCGCGAGAGAGAGAGAGAGTGGGCACGGAAACGGAAGAGAGAAAAAGGAAAATTAAAACAAAGTAAGTATAAATAAAAGTAGGGATGGGTGTATATTATAATATAGTAGTGGGTGGGCGCGATGCTTCGCAAGGAGCAAAAACCCCAATGAAAGAAGGGAAGGTAAAACGACGAGAGATACTTACATATTGTATATACTCATGGTTCATCGCAAGCTTCGGCTTTTCATCTTTACAAATAAATATGTGATGTCAACTATAGATCAATGTCAAAAACAATGTACGTATGGGTGGATTGTGGTGTCTTTCCTTTTCCACTAATTTTATATCTTTCATTTTTCATTGAGCTCATTCTTGTATGTACACAATTGGTAAGGTATACATATTATATATGTGCTCACGGCAACCGTAGTAATCCGGTTGAAACAATACACAGTTATAATTTTCTCCATAAGCTCTTAAACTCCAAAAGACGCCAGCTGTCCTCGAAAACGATTCCTCGAAAAACAAAAAGAATGCTTGATGGTTTTTCTTTTCATTTGACGTTATTTTTCGGGGTGACTTGATGTTTTTTTTAAACATTTTTTTGCAAAATAATTATTACATTTTCTTTCCAAACTATTTGCAATCCTTTTACTCAAAAGCAGCAGGGTTTGAGGGAAAAATATTAAGGAGATACCAAAACCATGTGTTTCACTCATAAGCGAAAAAACAAACAAAAAATCAATGATATTGCAAAAATGAATTTTTTATAAAAGACATTAGGGTAAAAAGTTAAAAAAAAAAAAAAAAGAAGAGTGTCTCGCATAACTTGTATGTTCACGATTTTTTTTCCAAAAACATAAGTACCTCAAAAAAAAAATTTTTTTTTCACTTTTAAATAGGTACTCCTAAATTTTTTGCGGTGTTACTCGTTTAAAAGCATAAACCATTTAAATTTAAACTTTTCGGATACAACAAGAGGATTTCGGTTTGGACTTTGGATTTAGAGAGAGAGAGAGAGAGAGAGAGAGAGAGAGAGAAAGAGAAACACACGGCCATCTTGAGCTAGCAAAAGCCAAAACACAGTTCAGTCTTCAGTCAGGTTCAGTTTCAGTGTGGTGCTTTCACCACGACGGTGAGTCGCTCTCTTTTGTTATTTTTCAATCCTCTCTTTTTTTATCGTTTGCTCCCCCCAACTTTTACTTATTTCACAATAGAATTGCTCCGTTTTCTCTAATGTACAAGTACTGACATGATGCCGTGCTTTTTCTGTTTTTTCTTTAGATAACTATAATTGGTGGTGTATACACGGGGAAAGAACCCCGAGGAAAAGAGGAGGTGGAGCTCTGCAGAGAGACAGAAGTCAGAAACGAAACACGAGCGTGTACCTATTAAATACACTTAAATGTGTTGTGTGTGCGGTGAAAAATAAAATATATATACTTTAGTAGGTGTACCGATGTACTCTGCTGAGGATTGAGGAATGGAATAGGCATCTCTCTGAAGAGTGAAGCTTAGCGGAGCGGAGCGAAAAAGGTGCGTCATCGCGGATGTGCAGTGTGCGAGGAGGAGATAGGACGGTGCCCCGTCGACGTTGACGACGTCGTGCGTGTGTTTTCCTAGAGAGGGAGAATAAAAGAAAATACGATTTTAGGTTACTTATTTATCAGAGCACGACCTTATCTTCCTCGTAGACGCCGCATGTTTGTGGATGCGAAATTCGTAAAGATAATTACATTAGCACTGAAGAGAAAAACTTGACGACTCTGCTGCTTCTTCCTCTCTCGATGCAGCTACCCGCGCGTCCTCCTCTTCTTGCTCCTCGTCACAGTCGTCTCTCTTGCTTTTGCTGATAATATCTGTATCATACTCTCGTCCGTCCGTGCGTGGCACCTATTAGACTGCACCAACTGACTCTTCTCTTCGAACTTTGGTGGCTCGGACCTGTAGGTAAAAAAACAAAACAACATTTTCAAGTGCTCGTCATGTATACAAGTATATTAAAAAAGATAATAGTTTTTCGTTCATCTCCCGCATGTGGTGTGTCACCAGGTGTCGACATTGGTCATATCCTCTTCCTCCTCCGCCCTTAGATAGTGCGTGTAAGCGAGACAGAGAATTTTTTTTACGAGCACAATTCAGAGTAGTGCGGCAAAGAGGGTGTGGGTGTGTAAGAGTCGAGTCCTCTTCCTCCAGTATTCTTCTTGTTCTTACCGATACTGGCGATACTGCCTGTAACATAATACTAATAAATAGGGATTGTGTGTGTGTGTGTGTGCATGATCAATTGTTTCTAAATCTTTTGGACTCAGTGTGTTTTATACTTTGTAGAGGTTTAAAGATTGAGAAAAAGTAATAAGTGTGTGACGATGTTTCGTTTTGGAGCAATTGCATGACTTGGAGCTGCTGTCGTCAAGTGACAGTTTGGGATATAGCTCGGTCTCTACACGGTACACCGCACCTAACTGCTCTGATTTTCGTACTGTACTATATAGTTAAGTAAAGGTAATTATTCCGCGTGTTTGGCATGTTGGGTGTTGGTGTCGTTGGTGATGATTCAGAGAGACAGAAGTCTTCAGGTGAGTCTTTTAAAAGGGAGCGCGTATTTTTAGAGGTCATCGTCGTGGTCTTTTCAACCGTTTTTGCTTGTGTTTCTTCTTCTTAAAGTCGAATTTTACCACTAACGGTTGTGGAAGAGCTCGTATAATAAAATGTCTAGAGAGAGAGAGAGAGAGAAAAGAAAGGTTTTGGCAGATGCGTATGTGTTGCCAAGTTCTTGTAATTTTAGTAGGTTGAAACAATACTGATTGAAACGTTTTACTTATAGAATTGTCGATATTGTTATTTTCATTTAATTTATTGAGATAATTGATATCTCCTTACATTGCATGAGTCAATTTAGATGCAAATAATAGTAAGGATTGTTACCAAGTTCATTAACAACATTTGGTAGGTAAAAGTGTTCTTTATACAACTTTCTGGCATTTTGCGAGGATTTCTTTTGCGAAATCAGGTCAGATGTTCATCCAAGTTTATCTTCCACGTGTATCAAATCATGATGAGTAAATCAAGTTGATAACGCCATCTCATATGTTTAAAAATAACTAGGCGTTATTTTTATTTGATTTCTAACATGTACGCGAAATTGATCTGTATTTGATGTATTGCATCATTTCTTGCAGTTGATTGGGTCAATTGTTTCATTTTATGTCGCAGCACAATATTAAGTGTCAATTGTGTTTTATGTTGTACAATCTAAATAGAGCTATATGTTTCTTCAATATGTTTAAATAATAATATTTAAAAGCTTGGTTTTTCAAGCAAATCAGCTGTTGTGAGTTAATTTGTTGATTGAACAGGATCTGCTATTTCACTAGAAACCAAAATGCATTAAGGAGGTTTTTGCAAAAACGTATAAATTAACTTTAGATTATAACACTCAATTCTAGAATCCAATATTTGCTTTCATCAGCAGTTTAAAGAATGATTGACTGTGACAAGTGTAGCACTAATTGATTTTAAAGTTTGACACGTACTGTAGTGCACTTTTATTTATAATAGGAAAATGTAAATACTTGCTTAGTGAAAAAACTGACTCAAAAAATCTATTGATTGTTTTGATTTTTAGATTAAAAAATGGCTAACGATGCACCACGTGAGCGAGAAATCGCTGCTGAGGACAGCATCAAGGTTGTGTGTCGTTTCCGACCTTTAAATGATTCTGAAGAAAAGGCTGGATCTAAGTTTATCGTCAAATTTCCATCAGGTGGTGAAGAGAATTGTATTTCTATTGGTGTAAGTATCGTTTGTAATAATTCATTCATCAATTCCTTAAATAATATATATGTACAATTGCGCACTCAAAACTATTAAAATTCACCTTTAAATGTAAGTTAAAAAAAGCTTGATACTAAAGAAGCGCATAAACTGATAATCTCTTGTATAATTCAGTGTTTCATACATTTTTTCATTAACTAGTCAATTAATTTCTTACAATTATTATACAGGGAAAGGTGTATCTGTTTGACAAAGTATTCAAACCAAATGCAACACAAGACAAAGTTTACAATGAGGCAGCAAAGTCTATTGTCACTGACGTACTTGCAGGATACAATGGAACAATATTCGCGTATGGACAAACGTCCTCTGGTGAGCGAATGGTGTTTATTAATTCGATATTTTAAACTAATAAGGAAAAGTTATAATTTTATTTGTTCATTCAGGTAAAACCCACACAATGGAGGGTGTTCTTGGAGACCAGAACAAACAGGGCATTATCCCTCGAATCGTCAATGATATTTTTAATCACATTTATGGTATGGAAGAAAATCTGGAATTTCACATCAAAGTATCGTACTTTGAAATTTATATGGACAAAATTCGAGACCTACTCGATGGTATGTAGCATAAAAAAAAGTATTATTAAATAAGTAAATCTGAATCATGGGGTGTGACATATACTTATCGTCTTTTGTCTCATTACAGTGTCTAAAGTCAACCTCAGTGTGCATGAAGATAAGAACCGCGTTCCCTTCGTTAAGGGCGCGACAGAGCGTTTCGTTTCGAGTCCCGAAGAGGTGTTTGAGGTAATCGAAGAAGGAAAATCCAATCGACATATTGCTGTGACAAATATGAACGAGCACAGCTCACGTTCACACTCGGTATTTCTGATTAATGTCAAGCAAGAGAATCTTGAAAATCAGAAAAAATTGTCGGGTAAACTGTACCTTGTGGATTTAGCCGGTTCCGAGAAGGTTTCGAAAACTGGTGCAGAAGGCACGGTCCTCGATGAGGCGAAAAATATCAACAAATCCCTGTCTGCTCTCGGTAACGTTATTTCGGCCTTAGCTGATGGCAACAAGACACACATACCATACAGAGATTCCAAACTGACGAGAATTCTGCAAGAATCGTTGGGAGGCAACGCAAGGACGACGATCATTATTTGCTGCTCACCAGCTAGTTTCAACGAGTCTGAGACCAAGTCCACTTTAGACTTTGGTAATTTTATTAACATACAATTTCTGTCAATTTTTCCTTGCATGTTACAATATGTAAATTATCACATTAAATTTATTTTTATAAATAGGCAAACGAGCCAAGACGATTAAGAATGTCGTTTGCGTGAATGAAGAGTTGACGGCTGAAGAATGGAAACGGCGATATGAGCGCGAAAAAGAAAAGGCCGGTCGTCTTCGAGGTAAAGTTGAAAAACTCGAAGCAGAGCTATCACGCTGGCGACAGGGTGAGACTGTCAAGCCAGAAGAACAGTTCAGCTTGCAGGATGTCCCAGAGGTTGTTACACCTGTTACCAGTACCATTGAAGGTATATTTAGTTAGCATCGTTTGCACAAATAGAATTTTAATGACTTTAAATCTACTGTTTTTAAAAATTATTACAGTCAAATTGGACGACGGACCACTGCCGGCAACACCAGGAGCCGGTCTTATGGTCGGCTCGCTGTCGAACGAAGAACGCCAGAAACTGGAGGAGGAGCGTGAGCGGCTGTACCAGCAGCTTGACGACAAAGACGAAGAAATCAACCAGCAGTCACAGTTCGTCGAGAAGCTAAAGGAACAGTTGGAGGAGCAAGAGGAACTCATCGCCAGTGCTCGTCGCGATTACGAACAACTCCAGCAGGAGATGAATCGCATCCAGCAAGAAAACGAGAGCGCTAAAGAGGAGGTCAAAGAGGTGTTGCAAGCTCTCGAGGAGCTCGCCGTTAACTACGACCAGAAATCCCAGGAGGTCGAGGTCAAAAACAAGGAACACGAGACCCTGATGGAGGAGCTTCTAACGAAGCAGACTGCACTCAACAGTACGGCTTCGGAGTTACAGCAGCTGCGTGACATGTCAGCCCACCAGCGCAAACGTATTGCGGAGATGCTGACGAATTTGCTGAAGGATTTGGGCGAAATTGGTGTCGCGATCAGTGGCGACGAGAACCTCAAGGTAATACCCGACAGTAATGGCAAGCTCGAAGAAGAGTTTACAGTGGCTCGACTGTATATTAGCAAGATGAAGTCAGAAGTAAAGAACCTCGTACAAAGATGTCAAGGCCTCGAGTCCTCGCAGGTGGACTGCAACAAAAAGGTATACAGTTGTTTCCTTTACTTGTAATAGTGGCAGTGGAATTTACATAATTTTTTTTTTTTATTTCTCGTTTTATCAGGTCTCCGAGTATGAAAAAGATTTGAGCGAGTGTCGGCTACTGATCTCGCAACACGAGGCGCGCATGCAGAGCCTGCAGGAAGCGATGAAGGAAGCGGAAACACGAAAACGTGCCTTAGAGGAGGACGTGGACGCGATGCGCGAAGAATGCGCTAAGCTAAAGGCTGCCGAACAGGTACAGGCTGTAAGCAACAAAGAAAAGGCTGAAGAAAAAGAGGCTGCAACCAAGATGAGGCTCGCTCTTGAGGAGCAGATGGACCAGCTCCGCGATGCGCATCAGAAACAGGTTAATTATTAGATATTATTTAATCAATGGACATTTTATGTTTTACAACCAGATGAGAAATTACAACTTTATAATATTGTAACTTATTGCAGGTCGCGACACTCAGGGACGAGATATCCGAGAAACAGGAGGTTATCAGTGAGCTTAAGGATATAAACCAGAAATTCACTCTGGCGCATCAGCAAATGCAGGCTGATTACGAGCGATTAAAGCAAGAAGAGGCTGACAAATCGGTGAAGTTGCAAGAGCTTCTTTTGATGAACGAGAGACGCGAACAGGCGCGAAAAGATCTCAAAGGCTTGGAGGATACCGTCTCCAAAGAACTTCAAACTTTGCATAACCTGAGGAAACTATTTGTGCAAGACCTACAAGCTAGAATTAAGAAGTCAGTTATCTCCGAAGATAATGAAGATGATGGTGGCTCACTTGCTCAAAGGCAAAAGATTTCATTTTTAGAAAACAACCTTGACCAATTGACAAAGGTAAGTTTTTATACTGTCTTGGATATCATTATTTATTTGAAATCTGCCATGAGTATTTGATTAAATTTTCTATCCTGCATAAAGGTGCACAAACAGTTGGTGCGAGATAACGCAGACCTGCGTTGCGAACTGCCTAAGCTAGAGAAGAGGCTGCGTGCAACGATGGAGCGGGTGAAGGCTCTGGAGACGGCACTCCGCGATGCCAAGGAGGGTGCGATGCGTGATCGCAAACGCTACCAGTACGAGGTGGATAGGATCAAGGAAGCGGTGCGACAAAAGAATTTAGCTCGCCGTGGACCGAGTGCTCAAATCGCCAAACCCATTAGGGCTGGACAGCATCATGTTGGTGGAATCAATGCCATCAGGACTGGTGGTAACCGAGGTGAGTAAACATTGTTTAAACAATACTTATGTTTTCGTTCAGCGCTTTGTTTTATTTCTTTTTTCTCGCATTTACTGTGAACATTTTCATTAAAAAGGGAGACTCAGTTGCATTGTAACTCATTCATAATCACTTTTATTCTTGAATACTTAAAAAAATTGAATGTTAGTTAAACATCCCTTTTTCATACATGTTTAATGTGGTCGAGTTGAAAATTGTTATAATTCAAGTAATGGTAGAAGTTAGAGCACTTGTATATTTTTCTGCGATAGATTTTTTGTTAATCACTTTGTCATTGAATAAAATTATTGTGTTGCAAGGATGTCTGATCATTGTCTAGGCTAAAATTTCACTGTTTTTTTTTTTTTTTTTTCACAATGGGCTTACATCATACTTTTATAATTCGATTTCACAACTTCTAAAGCTTCTTTTAAATGCATTATAACGAGACCACTTTGAATTTTTTTTATTCATAATCAATAATCATCTAAACGCAAATACGAAAAACCTCATACTACAGCCAATGGCTCGTGTCTGCGAGCACTCGTATTATAGATAAGTCTTCACAAACAGTACTTGTAACTCACATTACCCTGTTTTCGTTTTATTTATTTTTTGCTTTCATGTACTCTCCCACTTGCCTCCTGTGTGGTTGTGTCACAATGCATATGTAGATGTGGACATCCATTCTCGATCGTGAACGTATGCACCCGAACTACCATCGAGACTGTAGAGAAAGAAAAAGAGAAAAAGTTTAAGACGATTGTCCAAAAATGAATACTTGCCTTCACTCTTTTACAGAATACGAGCGCAAGAGTGCTTTTGCAGACGACGATATGAAAGCATTTCCAGGGATGAATTTTATTTATAATTCGTACACATAAGCCAGTCAAAGGAAGGAAAAATAATCAAGTAAATCTTGGGGTACTTGCAAAACATTCAAGTATAAAATAAAATAAGATGAACGTCTTGAACAAGTGCTGCGATTCTGAAAATCGCGTAAAATGAATGTTTAAGCGGAATCTTTTTATTTAAGCTATTTTTAGCTACAAATAATTAATCGCGATCGGTAATTATTGTTATTAGTACTACGACTAATTACTGCCAATTACTGTTAGTACTACTACTATTAATTATTGATCCATCATTATTGCAAATCTTGTGTAGAAGATGAAATATGCACTCACAAGGAGCACCGCATTGATATAATTTTTGAGCGTTTCTAGCTTGATTATTATCGTCATAATGCAATACGTGATCACATGCGACCGTCACATTAAAACAATTTTTATTTTTTGTGCGATGGTTTGTCACTTTGGTGATATGCAAATGCTCGAGCTACGCCAGGGTCAACATAGAAATGAAAGCTAGAATCAATTAAATGCAATGCATAACAAAAAAATATAATACGGTGTATATGCGTGTGCATGGACCGAGTGAGTTAAACATTTATATATACACACCCACTATATGCCCTGTCTATTTGTACATAGCTCGTTTTTTTAATAAATTTTATTTCTATTATTATTATTTAACTGAATGGAATTATAAACTGCGGTTAAGAGTCGGTTAAAGTGAAACAAATAAATAGTTATACAATAAACACCAATGTGAAAAAAAAGATCACGCGATGTGCACGAGATAAAATGTGTAATAATAAAAGTGGACTGTAATAGAATTTAATAATGTGCAAAGCTTAGCGTATTTTAAGGAAAACAAAAAAAAATATTCATAGAAGTATTTAAAAAAAAAAAGAATGCAAAAAAAACTAAATAATGAAGATACATATAGCAAAGCTATTAAAACTGCATTTTGCACCAAAGCTTTTACATCAATCGCCGATGTTTCTTCGATCGCTTTGTTCCTACCTAACTCTCAAAGTGCTACTGTAACTTGTCATTTTTTTTTTTTTTTTTTTTTTTTTTTTTTTATGTGTACATTCAACTAAAAATCGTACATACACCGAAAATCATACAGTGCACCGTTCGCGACGTTTATACTTTGCCTCTAGACAAATGAAAAAGCCCTCAACACACATGGACAGCGTACAAAGTGATTGAAGTTATCGAAGTGGCGTCTTTCTTGGTGTACCGTAAAATAAAATCCACAGAGGCAGCTTATACCTATAGTTCAATTTCCGAGTGCGACGAGCGTCTAGCGAAGTCGATTGTTCACGCCTCGTTTTCTAATATATGAATGGAGAGTTCGCTTGACTTGTGGTCAAGTTCTGTCAAACCCATCCAATCTCTTGATGGCTATACAAGTACTTGTATGGCCAAAAGAGCGAGGCTACTATTTGAAACACCAGAAATAGTCGAACGCGGCTCGTTTGCGGGTGCAGGTGCGTATGGCTGAGAAGAGGATATACATAAATAAATAATTATCAGTCTTGCTTTCGTCCACGTCGTATTGAAGGTATGTCATTACGCTGTTGCGGCCTTTATCTACGATTCAACTTCATTGCGTGAGTGCTCGAACCCACTTTTCTGTTCCTCTGTACGCATTTTGCACTTTACGAACGTTTATTTGAAACGTTAGTGACGAGAGGCATTTTTATCATAATTTTTTTTTTTTTTTTTTTTTTTTTTTTCATTGCGCGTTATCGCGCTAGTTAAATTAATTTATGCATACCGAGATTTATTTGCTTCTTTTCAGGCGTCTGCCAATATATGCGAATAAACATTGGAGCACGCGCGTTGAATGCTTTTTTTGTGCACGACTTAGTAATTTTATGCGAATACCATACATGAAAATATGCATTTGTTGTGTAAGCGAATGTTTCGATTTTAGCGCCAAATGTTGCTTCCGCCAGTTTATTGAAAATCATAAGTAATGTCGCGAATTTCAAAGAGTATTGATTGATTGATTGGTTACGAAAAATTGTATTTTAAAAATATGTTATTTTGTGCATCGTCGAGAAAAGTTTTGCTTGTTTCAAGTATTCTTTTACAAATTAAGTGAAGGAAGTCTTTGACGTCACTATCGAATTGCTCGCAAGACTGCCTCGGTCGTCGCCCTTCTTTTTTTTTCTCTTTTATTTTCTCGAGAAGCGAACGTGCTTTTCGCATAGACAAAAGGGACATAGCTTTATCCGTAATTTATTGTAGCGAGTAAATTTCGCGCCACGTACTTGATTGATGCGATTAAATAATTAAACACTTTATAAGTACATAGTAAAGAATTACCCGTTATGTTTAGCGAACGCCAAGGGAAAAGTTGTGGAGCGACGTGACTTTGTATTAATTAATGATGTTAAGAGTGGCGATCCCACGGTAGGATTCAATGTCTCGACTTTCAGAATATTTATTTTTATCTCGTAATTGTAACACACTATGTGCTTAATAAATATTTTGCATAAATTCAAAACTGTTGGTGCATTGGAATTTCGTCCTCAAAAATTATTTTGTTTATTAGTAATATTATTTTTAAAAATATGTATCGATAAATAATGAATTAAACATGTTTAAAAAATAAATTTGAAAATTCAAACTCCTATCCCAGATTTTTTTTATCACATAATTGCTTGTGTCAATGAACAAATTGTGATTTCTCAGTTATCTGAAGTACCTAGTATTGGTAAATAAATACGTCTAAATTTGAATTAAGCGACAAAAAATGTTTATTACTATTAACCAACTCGAAAGTCTTTAACTGTAAAATTTTTAACAGTGCTAATTTTACTACTTTGATCAACGAAGAAGGGTCACGAAGTAAAAAGTTTAGTGCAAGAGTGTCTCTGTAAGTATACTTATACTAGAATACTAGATCATTAATTGTCAAGATGGTTTTTACTAAGTAAGTAGCATTTCTCTACAAGTACGGTCCTCACAGGTATGCAAATAAGGGCGCAAAGTACAATATATCAGCACAGATCACCAAAAGGTACCGAATAGGTTCAGTGGCAAAGATGTACGTGAATTTAGACAAGGGAAAAAAAAATATGATTTTAACATATTTAAGTTGAGGGAAACAAAAACTACCTGTATATTGCATACGGTATACTCTTATAAAAAATAGATGCAGTAAGTATTGTGATAAACAAAATGTATCGTAAAGTAAAATACTTACTCATCTGGTTTAGTTAGACCGTGTTGGGTTATCAGCCTTTTTTCTTGGCCTCCGGCGGGCGTAAAATATCCACTTGTCGCGCTGTACCTACTTATAGCGCTGCTGCGTCTGTTGAGGTGCTGAACTGCCAAGCAGTGCAGCGCACTGCGACAAGTTTCAACAGGATTAATCCGTTGCGTTGTCGTGTCGCTTCGTCTATCATCTCTCGCGCGAACGATGTCGAATTTATTTGCTCGTCCCAAAAGAAACCTCCGGGTTCAAGCCATTCTGAATAGATTAGATTCAAGAAAAACAAATGTAAGTATATATATACCTATAGGTGTCAGGGGAACGCATGTGTGCATCAACGGTCAATCGAGACAATCGAATTTCTGATGAGGATGGTTTTTTAAATTCTTAAGTACACTGTAACTGTGCCCATATTAATCGCGGTTGTGTTTAAATATTCAGAATTTTTCAGCTATTCGATTTGGTGTATAAATAATAGCTATTCACGAATAATGTATATCAATTAATACCGACAACTACGATACACCTAGTGCAGAAAGAACGGATCAACCGTCACGATCAAATTTAAAAAGTAAATTTCATCCGTCGAATAAAGTCCGTTAACGTGAAGTTTGAGACCTCAACACTTTTTAAAGCGGTGATGGTGTTATAATGAATGAAAAGAAAATTGTTCGTACTCTTCCCCAGGTCAGAGAAAACTACATGTTAGCCTACTGTCAAAGTTTGTTCGTCGCAATAGATGAGGGCGAAGTTGAGTTGGCGTTGGAGCTTTTGATAAAAGGGGCCGACCTTTCGAGCTTCAACGAAGATGGGTTAACTCCGTTGCATTACGCAGTGAAAAACGGAAAGACCGAAATGATCGAGATGTTACTGAACCAAGGAGCAGACGTCAATCAGCGTTGTTGTCAAAATCAAGGCCCATCAGTGAACATCTGCAGTGAAGTGAAAACTAATCGGAACCAAGGTTATAAGCAGAGGAGCCGGCAGCAGAGTCAGCCGGTAGATGACGTTCCAAGTTTCGGAACAACGGCTCTTCTGGTAAGTAACCTCATATATGGCTCTCGGTTTATTATCATTATCATCATATATTAAACAAGGCAAATCGAAACAAATCAACAAATTTTAGATCGCGGTGGAAGAAGGCTCGCTCGAATTGGTGAAGCTGTTGCTGAGGCACGGCGCTGACACTGTCGTCAAAAACGAGAAGCGAGAAAACTGCCTGATGATAGCCGCGAGGCGAGCGTCGGCGCAACCGGAGACTTACCGGCAGCTATTGAAGGTGTTGCTGGACTCCGGTGCCGATCTTACGAGCGATCGCACTTTGGAATACATCGTGCTCGACAGAGTACTTCTGCACGGTGGCTTGGAGTCTTTCTTGTTGCTTCTCGAACGGGGCGTCGACATAATCAACATTAGCCGTAGCTCCAGGAGCTTGCTCTCGGCAGCGATGAACAAGGATTGTGGTATTCTGAAGTGGCTCTTGGAGCGGAATTACTTCGACCTGGAACGGAAGAACGTGAGGGGCGAGACTGCGCTGCATCTGGCCGTCGAGGCGAATTTGCTGGTGACTGCCGAGTGCCTTTTGGAGTACGGGGCAAAGTTGGAGAGCTGCTCGAACGACGGTCTCACACCTCGAGATTTGGCTGTAAGAAGCGGCAACTCCGAAATGATTCGCTTGCTTGATCGCTGGAGATATGGGATCAGTGGGATTATTTTTTGCAGATATATTCAAGCTTCGGATAGTAACAATAGTTGCGAAACTAGGGTATACATTTAAGTGCAGTTATGATAGTTTGAACTTTTGATTCAAAGACATGGAGAATCAGCGGGTTTACCTGTATTATGTGTACTGCCTTTATTTCGTAATATGTTACTAATTTCCTATCATCATATATGTAAATATTTTTATGTGTGGCTGGTTATCCATTGGTATTGGATTTACCCAACTGTGATTTGTGGATACTGATAATGATTATCATAATGTTGATTAGGTTTTTTTTTTTATGTTTGTTCTCGTCTGCATAATGTCAAGACGACAATTTAATTGTTAGTTACACTTTTTTTTACTAGTTTTAACATCTAATAAAAATATAATTTTATATGAAAGTAGTATTTGTTATTATGTCTTGAAGTGACGTCGAAAAGGCTTATCCACGTCTATGTCCAGATGCTCGAGTCGAGGTTCATTAAACGATCCCTTTGGTTTTGAAATTCTGTGTGAAAAATGAGCATGAGATTCAATTAAAACCCTGCATTGTTGAAACCTCATATCATTGTACATAATATCAACGCAAGTTGCAAAACCTTTCAGCAGGAGTTGTAACGGGTCTTTTATAGGAAGTCGCTTGAATGGAGGCGCGCGGGCTTGGCTTCGAGGTCACGAGGTTTTCGCACTCAATGGCTTGCGACAGTCCAAAATCGGTGACGTTCCCGAAATTGTTAGAAAGGTCGATTTGTGGAACCCACACATCTTTTCTGGCGAAATACCAGAGTCAGAATTTTCCGCACGATATATTGTATTATACTCAACACAACAGCAGCCGAATGATCTACCTCGAGCTGTACTTTCTCCGTCTTGGCCCGCACAGTCCCAAGGGGATGACTCGGTAAAAGACGTCGTTGGTCGTCGTGTAGTTGTCGTAGAAAGCACGACCGTAATGCTCGAGCAGAAATTCACTGCCCAATCCCTGTAACGATCGTATTTTGAAAAAAAAACAAAATGTAATATAGTGACACTTTTTCGTTCTCACCCCAGCCTGGGTCTTGTGCTCTTTGGACGATTTTCTATCTTTTTTGAACTCGAGGTTTTTCTTGCACGTGTAGGTACTGTCGTATACAGTGATCCAGTGATCGGCCGGCGGCTTGTAGTCGACTCGCCTGTCAAACCAGTTGCCCACCAGTACGCTCGGGCTGTACCTGCATTTTCTGGGCTCGATCTGCGACTCGTCGAAATCGTCGCTGTCGTTAGTCGCCGTCGGTTTGCGGGTTACCAATCTCGAGGACTCGGCAGTTACGGCTTTTGCAAGCACGGGCTTTTTTTCGTAATCAAAGTTCATTGATGCCATTATTATTGCGATGACGAGATTAAGGTCAACTTGCGCTTGAAAAGTGACGATTTTGAAAAACCAGTAAGTACTGGGCAAGTAAATTCCACGCGCGTTGAGGCTATAAATTTTGTATATGATGGGGTATTAGGTCGAATGGAATAAAAGACTGATAAGTTGTACGATAAATGTAACGAAGATTGAATTTATTCTGTACAATTTTATACATATTTCATGAAGTAGGGAATATGCACACATTTTTATAATTCCGTCTTCATCAAAAATTCATTGCATATAACTTAAAATTATTGTATTGTATATAAATGAAAATAAAAATTCGATATAAAATTTTTTTTACTGAAACTATGACAGTCTCGATGGCAGTGCAAGTTACACAAGTTTTTCTTATGCTTATAAACATTTGACTAATAAAGGATTCTCTAGTATACTTGTATTAAAAAAAATATTATTATGTACCTGTAAACACATTTTTTATTTTAAGATAAAAAAAAATCGATCTACTTATTTATAAAGATAACTCATGATTGAAATAAAGATGAAGGCCTTAATCGTTTGTAACAAAAAATATTTTAAAGGTTGTTGACGTATAATGTGTAATTATTATAACTGATACGATAATTAATCAGACTTACAAATAAATGACGAGAAACTGGAGTAAAATATTAATCTGTATGAACATGTACGTTTTTTCTGACAATAGTCGCATATTTTCACGATAGAGATGATTTTGCTTTCGTTTTGAACTATTGAGCCAAAAATAAGTTGCAAGAAAGTGTAACTATAACATCATATATATCAAATTTAGGTACATCAAAATGGCACCCTTTATCGAGATGTAACATAAATACTTTATTAAAGGTATCATGAACACATTGATCATAATAACAAGAATTGTGCATTCAACATAAACAAATACTATACAACAGCCATCTGCAGCCTATTTTAATACAAGTATATTGTCGACTGCGCTTCAGTCTGCAGTACTCAAAGGCTTTCAGCAGTGGAAGAACTGTATCAAACAACTGGTAATGAACGTTCAACACATTGCCATGAATACATAATTAAAATCAGTTACAATGTTAACTTACTTAAATTGATACTATCAGATTTGTTTAGCATTATAAGTAATCATTCTAAAAAATTAATCAAAAATAATAGAAAGTTTTATTTTTTTATGTTTTAGGTAACTAAATTACATTTAGGTGTATGTATCTGAAGGTATTCATAAGTTTGGAATTTTAGTGACATAAATTATATTTAACATTATACGAAATTAATAAAGCACTTGGTAAAAATTAAAAATTGCTTCTCAATAAATTGAAATATATACAGTTGAAATAAAAATTGTGATGGTACGTTTGTGTATCGCATTATTGTAGTGTTGAATAATAACTTAATGAATGATTTTATTGTAAAAAACAGCTATTATCAAAGGAATCAATTACAATGTTAGTAAACATAATTTTTCAATAATTTTTTTAAAATATCACAGATTATAGATGTGAAGAGAAATTAAAAAAAAGTTGATTGTTTCGAAAATAGAAACTTATTTTTAATAAAAAATGCATCTTATTGAATATATGTACGAGTATATGATGCATTTCATAAAAACTGTTACAGTTTGAAACATGGAACTAAAAACGTTATTACATAGATTACAATAAATAAAAAGAATATTTGAATCGAAATTCTTAAGAACTAAGTTTTTAAGCTTACTCTTTCGCTCAATTGACAAGCATCAAACCCAGACAAACCTCATTCAAAGAAAGTTTAAAAGGTCTCTAATTAATAATATTTTCAGCGCAACAGTGTAGTACAAATAACTACCATATTCAGCACCAAAGATCCACAGAGCAGAACTGGCAGCCAAATTGGATTCATGACGATGGTAGTAGTATGGCCACTGCATTGTAAGTCGTGTTTCGTATGACACTGATATGATTGTGGTGATGATTTGTTGACGTTAGGTGTTGTTTGACCCATCGACGAACAGCTCCTGCGCTTGCAAGAATTGTCAGTTGATCCTGAGGTAATAGACAGATTACTTTCAATTGGTCGAGCAAAGCAGCATTGTTGCTTGGGCAACGGCATCACAGAGCACTGATCAAGTTCGTGAAAAGATGGTTCTCGCGATGGGCTATACATTGAGCCCGCGCATGAGCCTATTCCCGAGCTCTGGCTCGACGAGCGTGATATTGTTGGTGACGTATCGGTTATGTTATTACCACCAGGTGTCTGCCAGTAACCACCAGCAACCCACGAGGATTCTAACATTGCTCGTGGGGACCGGAGTCTTGCGGGTGCGAGGATCGAGCGCTTTTGTTGTGAATATCTATTGAATATGTCTGGTGATGATGTACCATAAACTCGCGTTTCAAAGATTTTTTGGTTGGAGCCTCTTGTTGTTGGCGAAACTTTACCATCATTACTACCCAGAGATAGAAAATTCAAACTGCTCAAGCTTTCATTAAAAGCATAAGTTTCTTTACAAAAGCTTTTAGGAAATTTACTATCCTGGGTAGATGCAAAAGATGATTCTTTCTTAGTGTAGGGGTTGAAAGAATCTTTTTTTGACGGCCTATGAAGTAAAAAATCATTAGATTAACGTAAAAATTGATGATCATGGGCACTTACCATTCAAATGATTTGGTCGGTTTTATTGGAATAGGTATTTCTACAGATTCAGGAGTCAATAAACTGTTAGTTATATTTACAGGAGAGTACAAGCTTCTGTTTGATTCTTTGCGAGGTAAAACCTCTTGATTTTGTGACATTACAGGCTCTAGTGACAAAGATTGAGGAACTGGAAAGTTTTTATCCGGAGATTCTAATTTCTTAAGGGCTAAAGATCGATTGGGAACAGTTTTGTAATATTGTGATCTCAGATTTGATAATCCCACTGCAGTTGCCAGAGTTATTATCTACAAAAAATATAATGAAATGTGTGGGGTTTCCTTTACTTGTGTTACAGCTAGAAACAGTAATATCAAACTTACGAAGTATTGATACATATTGTTATCTGGAACAGTCCAGTGACTATTTAACTTAATTTGCAGCAAGCTTAAAATCATAGAAGTTGACAGTGTTTTAACGCATATAAGGCAGATCCATCCAATTATTGGAAGAACATCAAACTTTCCTCTATTGACTGGGTGAGCCAAACAAGCAAATAATTGACATACTAATCCACACAGTGGAAAATACAAAGCTTCAGAGTAGTAAATAGTCACAGAAGCAAGGATTGACAAGAGTATACGCAAAAACTTTTCTATTTTTTCTCTACTCTAAAATGTTTAATTAAAAGTCATGAACAAATGTACACATTAGAATAAAGTTCATTTAAACTTACCTGAATCGTCTTACTGATATGCTTATGCTTAAATAAGAGCATTTTGTATTCCATAAGCCACAATTTTTGCTTGTACAAAACGGTTTGTACAATGGATTGACACTTGTGACACAATGGATGTTTTTTCTCCATGTTTTGTGCAAATCTTGCAATTTGTTTTTCATTATCTTCACCAATGGAATCTTGAAGTTCTCTTAATTTAATCAACTTCTGTTCTTCCATTTTAATACACTTGTTGCACAATTTATTTTGATTACTAGAATAACTTTTTCTCTCACAAAAAGATTCGCTGTATTTACTATTTTTTCCAGTTGAACCGCTTTGCTCCGATATTTCGTAATTGTAATCTCCATCCTGTGTTAAAGAAAAAAAGTTTTTTTAGATCTTCACAGCTTATTTACAGTAGCACGAAATTGTTCCCTAATTCACCTTGGAGAAACCGTTGTATTGGTGACAATAATTGCATAGCCACCAGTCCAACGTCCATCTTGGTACCTTTGAATTGACATTGCAAAACCAGCAGTTGACTTTGACGGGCCAACGGTTCCTGTACTCGCCAACGAATCGACAGAAAACAATAGAAAAACACTTTCAAAACAATCGAGCAAAACAAACAACGGACAAGTGCAATCATGTACTTACCTCAGTTTAAAATAAATCGTGATACACATCACCAAAGTCAACACAGAGACGGAGATGATGGGTATGAAATTTATCAACAGATTTGGATCGAAATTCATTTTGTATTCTTTCTGATAAAACACTTGACATATGCATACACTTTACTGAAAAAAAAAAAAATAAAAATAAATAATGCTCCCGCCAATGTGTTCCTTTTGACACAGCGAAAAGCTAACCTCGAAATCTAACGTCTTCCTGCTTCTGCATCACTGCTGCACACGATGAAAAATTTTTTGTTGGAGTCCATACTATTATATTATGAGCTAGCTACTAGCATTAAAAACGCACATGTAAACGCGACTTCCAGTTCCGATTTCCACAGTTTTATATCATTAAACACACAATTTTTCAATGTTCAACACAAGGGGCACACTCTCCGGCAAGCGGCACGCAAATTCACGTGCATCATGGCGCGCGCGCGAACTTCGCCGCGAAGTACATAATTATCTACAATTTAGCATTTTGCATAATTCGCATCTCCTAATCTCCTTTTATAACTCACACCTCACACACTCTCACAACTCACTACACAAGTATCACGTGTGAGGAAATATATCTATATAGATTCAAGTTTAAGTTAGTTTATTGGCTTTGTATTTTCTATAATTTTCTTACATATGCCATATGCCAATCTATTATCTATGTAGATATTTTTGAAAAACGATCAGCACCATCTAGCGGGGCCAATTCAGAACTAAAAAAGTACTATATTCCTTTTTGAAGAAAATCACTAGCAAAAGTTACTGTACTAGGTAAATTCACTAATAAAAGTTACTAGGCCAGGAAATTATTGCAAATCAACGCCATCTAGCGTGCGATTTTTCTTGTCGCTTGTCGCTCCGAAACCCTACTGACGTTTTTTTGTTTTCGGTGACGAAGAAAAGCTCAACTCAGATTATGCCCTTTAAAAGACATTAAGAAATATGAGTTAAGCTTTTCTTCGTCCACTGACAAACATTGGCTATATTCGACGCTCCGGACACTCATCAGCCGGACACCCTACGGATATTTTTTTGCTCCGGCATACAAGAGCAAAGGTTGCCGATGAAGCCCGATCAAAAGGCAAAATCTGAATTGAGCTTTTCTTCGTCACCTAAAACACAAAAACGTCAATAGGGTTTCGGACTTTTCGGAGCGACGAGAAAAATCACACGCTAGATGGCGTTGATTGAAATACATAAGATGATGAGCCGGATGAGCGAAGGCAACCGGCGAAGCCCGATCACGCCCGAAGCAAAAAAACGTCCGTAAGGTCTACTGGGGTCTGGGTCTAGGGTAAGTAAGGGTTGGCCAATGAACAACTCTCTATTTATAGATTTCTCAAATGAGCGCGCTTTTTCGAGCTGCACCAACATTTTCATGTTAGTTGTATAATCCCACAGAGCTCATTTAAATTGGTTATAAAGACGCTCGCCGTAACAACAAGTACATATAGCGTTGTTTTGTTTTTGTTTTCAGGTTGTGACCTCATTTGAGGTATGAAAAAAGTACCTATAGTTATTGTTATTCAGTCGAATAACCATGTCAAAGCTCATCGTTCAATCATTGCATGCGCAAATTTGGAAAAAAAAGAACCTGCTCACACGGACCAACTACCACTACTACACACACATGTTTTGATGCTGTGTTTTAATGCACGAGAGAGGTAAGGGTAGCCGGGTATACGGGCTCGCGATATTTCAACGCGCAGCATGAAAAAGATCTTCACCTTGATTTCCAGTGAAGTATATTCAGCCCGTGGTACACGCAACAGTGTACAAGTGCGTGTAGGCACCATTAACCATTATAATGTGTGTATATTATAGTGTAAGGGGTGTATACATACATACATACGTATGCATACAACGTAGGCGCGCTTGGGAGAGTTCGTTGGCCCCCGCGGAGCAACCTCATTATTGCCGTAGAGAGAGAGAAAGAGAGAGAGAGAGAGAGTAAGGTCGAAGTGTTTCCCCTCGCGCCCCTTACCCGTTGAATTCGACGACGAGCTATTTACGAGCCGGTAGGTATAAGCTCCACTTTAATTAATATGGAAGTTCGTCTGTCCTCTCTCTCATTTTTTTTACACGTACACATATACATACTTGCTCATCATCGTGTCATAATTGATTATAGACGTATTTATGGTCACGGTTTTTTTACTTTATTTTTGTCTGACGGGTGACGGCTGACGTTACACTTCACCTATACACGCATTAATTGTCTCAGTATAGATGTGTGCATATACGTATTGTCAACATACATTTGAGCGGATAAGTTCCAAGGACTCCATGCAGGGTATACTTATTACTGTTTTCTGTCTATTCTATACTCATGCGATTGTCGATCGATCGGTTCTGAAGCTGGGAATCGGTACCAACTTAATCGTCCGAGTTTATGCTCAATTTCAAGTTACGTACTTTACTCAACAGCACCCAAATTCGATTATGGAAACTGTAATAATTGTATAGACAGTAACTAGCAGAATTGTACCAAGTTTTGACAAATGCATATGTATATAAAATGTTAGTCTACCAAGAAAAACGAGCCAAAAGCCAACAAGGCGCCAATAGACTCGACGATGGCAAGCGTCATGTAAACACAATCAGTGCAGGAAATAATATTCTCTTTTGTTTCAAACGTAAGTAGAGAGGGAGAGATCGTTTACGTAAATCCTCTGCTACTGGAATTTTTCCGTATACACATTGTATCGTGCCCCTCAATTTCCAAGTTTCCGATCATCATCACCAATGACGAAAACAAATATAATGGTTTTCCTTGTTACGCACCGACCATAGTATATTGTTATTTACTCTGTGTATATTATCATTAAAAGTACAACTCTGTCTTTGAAATGTATGTATGTATAACAAGACAATCAGTTTGCAACGTATACGTGTAATAATCAAGGATTATTTCATTGCAGCGCGATACTTGAATCCGCGCGTCGTCGATAAATAAAACGAGCAATATGTTATATAAACGCATTTGTATATAGGTTTTGTAATTTTACGAGTGACATAAAACGATCGTTCAATGAAAGGTTTTGATGCGACGTATTACATCATCATTTTCTTGGTTCCAGTTTCAACTGTTTATCGATCCGATGGATAAAATCGGTATAGCCGTTGAGCTTTTTTAGGCGATGGTACGGATTTTCTAAAATAAGTAATATGATTTTCCAGTACTTTCAGGTACGTACTTTGCGTATGAGCTCCATTTGTCAATTGATGGTAGGTGCAGTTGTACATTCACAGAAAAGTAAAATCTTCATCGAAGCTATGGACGTTTTAATTGGACGCACACAAAATAGCGCGTGGATCGCAAACATAAATATATGTTTTCTCGGCTATCATCCCTCGATAATATTATTCCAAACGCCCCGTAATTCACGCTATTTTCGCTACTCTGTATGTCGCGCGATGAAACAGGCAAACTTTTCATAATTAATAATATATCAATGTACATATATATGGATAAGCTTGTGCATGCGTAGTGGGGATCGCGAGAAGAGCCAAGTTTTAATGATGAGTAGGTACTGATATATATATATATTCGTACAACTTTACGACTGTCCTTCGATTTGTGCCTTTGCCAGCAGTGCTTTTAATTTCGCTAAAAACCATGTCAACGCTACACACGCACGTACGGCTTTTCCGCACCTGTTTTTGCGGATTTAGCAACATTTTCGGTCAATCATCGTCTCTGGCTCTTCGTCGAACCACATGCGCGCAAGGACCAATTATTCTAATTCAAACAATCCGTTGCCTTTACTCTCCTGTGTATTTTATTTCGAATATTAAAATTATACACTTATGAAAATACATAAGAGACAATACACACGTCATCACGTAGTAATATACGGAGAAAAAAAAGAAGAAGAAAAAAAAATACGCATTAGTTCGAACGATTTGAAATTAAAAACACTTATTCCGAGAGTTTTAGTTGCTCGAGAACACATTATTTTAAAATAACAACATTGGGGAAATAACGTAGGCATCATCAGCCTAAGCGTCTTTGTTTATTTTTCCGCTTAAAGATAGATCTAGATAATTTTAAGTGATTCACATCGCAACGGAACATCAGAGTATAAACAAAACTTTCGGTCGCTCAATAAACGTATCACTCAAGCATCCATCAACTTATATCGTATTTTGTAGGTACATGTGTATTTTTCGTAATTGACGTTTCATTTTTCATTCACCAAGAAACACCTTAAACATAAAAGTGAAAAAAAATCCACTGTTACTACGTACTTAGAAGAAAAAAAAAAAATTCTTGGAAGGACTTTAAGCACAAAATCGCAACGAGTGCTTAATTAACGTAGTTTTTTAAATTATTTTCATAAATTATCTTGATGGCAACGTGTTAAAAATAATAATAATAAAAAAATACTTACAAAGACCTTGCGAATAAGCCTTACTTTTACGCTCAAATCTACCTATTACCTGTACATATACCTATCCATACGTAACATATACGTAAGCATTTGTACTTAAAAAGATTACTGCGAGGATCAAGTAAGATCTTCTATTACAATACTGAACATTGTACATTACTGCACGTGTCGTCGCGCTAAATTCCTCGGCTCTCATGATTCAACTCTGAGCTATATTTTTTTTTAACGACCAAGTGTGTGTGTTGACGTGTGCATAATAATATTTTACATACATATATATATATCTTCACATAAACCTAATAGCTCTTACGTATACTTGTGATAAAAATGTACAGCTCCATGCGTCTGCGAAAATGTAACTGCGTCATCGTAAGTATTTATTGATGAGATTATCCACTTCTCTAAGAAATAAAAAAAAAAAATTACCTGGGTAGGTATACTTTATTTAAAGTCAACATCATATAAAACATGACACGCACATTGACGCCTCGGTCGAAGAAAGCGTAAAAACGTTGGAGAAATAAGCTTATTACTGTGAATTATTATCATAGAAATTATTAACAAGACGAATTCCACGTAAGTGAATGTGTCACGATAGTAAAGGGCTCAATTGTTCGTTTTTTTTTCTTTTCGTGTCATATTAATGTGCAGATTTTTTCAGAGCTTGAAAGAATGCTATTCCAAGAGAGGTAAGTCCGTCATAAATATATATATATATATATATATATATATAGATTTTCATGGTAAATGTGGTTTCTGTAATATTTATAGTAAGTATATAGGTACACTACAAATTGACTGACGGTTTTGAAAAACCACACCCTTGCAAATATATGAAGATGTATGCTTGAGGTCAGTCTCACAACGCTGATGGGTATGTATACCTGACACCTTACATATACGTATCTTATTGGAGGAGTTTTTTCATCAAAGTTTTAACTTTGTAAAAAAATTATAGCCTCGTAATACAACTTTCTAAAGGTTGTATCGATAAAAAAATAAAATAAAATAAAAATATGAATATAGTCTTGATAAAGAAATAACAGAGAAAAATAAAAAAAAAACGAAATGACTATTAATTTTTATACTGGTGTCAGTTTGAGGGTTCAAGTTCCTAGGGTTTGAACACCTGCAAGTTGACATTGTGGATTTAATACATCACGATTTTGTTTTAAATTTAATTTCCCACGTGTGACGAGTTTTATAGGGAGTATAGGGAGCTTCCCGGAAGGGGCAGGAGACCCGCTTAGTTACTTTTTCTTTCTCACAGTTGGCACTCCTTGGATTGCAAGTTATTTAGTTTTTTGGGGTTGCCAGCAAGTGTAACTAGGCGGTTTGCGGTCGGGGACGCGTGGCGGACTCCTTTAACTATAGAATCAGGCGCAACTGAAACAAAAGTTAAATTAATTTTCATCAATTGTTAAAAAGTAAAACCCAAGTAGCTATATGTACGTACAATCGACTTGACAATAGGTTACTCTACTGCCATAACACATGTCATAGTAAATATATATCTAATTTACACGATCGGGTGCCACGACTCGGTCGTGATGTTTGCGCGTTATGAGTTGGATCAAGTTCAAATGTAACCCGACTCCCATAGACGAGGATAGTTTTCCAAAAAAAAAAAAAAAAAAAAAAACTTATAAGTACTTACCTATGTATGCAAATTTGCATCTGCAAAAATTTTGTGAAAAAGGACAGGCGGGCGCGCGCGCATGCCGCTCCGGCAAGTTGCAATATTCGCTGCATGCTCTGACTGTATTCGTTCGTCCTGCATCTGCAGCTGAGGGTTGATTAAATTGTTGAGAGAGGCTGTTCTTCTATTTTTTAAAAATATTTACCTATCCAGTATCCGGCCGTGGATATACTTGTAACACTTTTTTTGTCCACAATTTTTGAAGACTCCGTACGTATAACGTGTATTCTAGACCCGCTGTCAAAGCCGGCACTTTTTAAGTAAACCACTTTGACGACAGTTTTTTGTGTCGTGCATAATATATATACTCAGGAGAGCGTGAAGTGTGTGCAGACGATAGTGAACCCCGTTAACGCGAAGAAGAATATTAAAAAAAGTTTACAGAAGGAATATCCATACATAATTGAAGAAGCAGTTGCAGACTGGAACCCACGTACGAACAACACATGGGTAGCAGGGGGGCTCGTTATCCTGGTGTAATAGGGCCGGAGTTGCGCTGCAGCAGCAGCGGTGATAAAGCCTACAAGGCGGTGCGGTAATATAAAAGAGGAAAGAAGAGGAAGAGGAGGAGAGGAGGAGGAGGAGGAGGAGGAGGAGTGGGCATTTTGGCGATAGCTGCCGAACGAGAGCGCGGCGGCATAAGGAAACGAGGGAGCAAAAGAGAGAAAAAAGAGCGCATCTGCCTATGTATAAGGTACACACACACATGTATATATATGCGCCACAGTATATACAGTTTAGTAAGTAAGTAGCGGAGTCAGCGGAGGAGATACGTGCGCGCGGTCACGTTGTACATTATAATATATTCGCACCGAAGCTCTCCTCCTCAACAGGCGCGGGCACGGCGACGTCCTCCGTCGTATAATCGTCATCTGCTGGACAGACAGAAGCAGAAGTCAAAGCAGCCGACAGACGAAAGACTCATAGCTTGTGTATAGCTATATATACACATCCACACTATACGTATATATATATAAGAGTTAGAGGATAGAGAGTCTCTCTATATTATCGTTTCGTGCTATCTTTTTTGCGCATTTGACTTGTTTTCTTGTGTGTTTGTGCATTATTTGTTACAAATATTATACACATGCATATAGGCTGTACGACGACTAACAACTAACAACTACCACCGTTTGTTATTTATCTCCATTTCTTTGGTAAATCCTTGTCAAAGAACTTGGCTCCTGTACGATTCCGGCACATTATTCACCTTCCCTCTCTCTTCCGCGCATATCAAAAGAGAAGCAGACTGTTTCAGCTGTCTCTTTCTCTCTTGTTCGCACTTGTATTGGCTATAGGTATGGTCTTTGGTAGCGGTGTCCACTCCTTATCGTCCCGGCCTCTGGTACATTTACGTGCAAGTGTAGATTGCACCAGGTCTGTACATCACATTGGTAGATATATTTATTAAAGTGGACCAAGAGTGCCGCAAGTTGTTGTTGCTAGGGGAGGCCCACATAGCAGACCACCTCTCACTCTGGTGATTCATCCCTCTGATGCAGACTGCAGCAAAGAGCAATACTTGCATTGAATAGTTGCTCTTCTTGACTATGTGTTATTGATCGTTGTTGCTGCTGATACTGTTCTTGATGTTGTTTTTGTTATCACTGTTGTGTGAATCTTAAGTTTAGTGATCTGCTGAAAAGGTGCTCTCTTTCTGTCTCTAAACAAGAGTTGAGTTGTTGTGTCGGTGTGGTGCTCTCTTGTGGCTGGCCGCATGTGTCATCAACAGCAGAGCAATAGTAGCCGCAGCAGTAGTTGGTGTGCTCAGTGTACAAGTGTCTGGTGTACACAGTTGGACTGATGTGCCTGGTCACGCTGCTGCTGGTCACCTACTTGCCAATCCCTACCAGCAATCATTGGCACTAGTAACAACTGTCCTAGGACAAGTGTAGAGTGTGTGATGCCCGGGAGTCGATCCAGCAACGACCCAGAGCACAAGTCACCGAGGGAAAGTGGCGAGGACTCTGAAGATGAGAGCGAAATCTTGGAAGAAAGCCCCTGTGGCAGGTGGCTCAAGCGTAGGGAAGAGGTAAGTGTCATTGGTCAAAGCTACATTTATGTTTTTTTTCTCATTCTAGAGATAGGCTTCATCCTTATTTTAAATCTCATGCACTCCTCAGTCTGAAGCTACCAAGATTTACATTGTTTATTTAAAAGGCTAAAAATTAACTTTAAGAATTTTCATAGATGAAATTGAGATTCTGCTTTGGGTGTTTAATTTCAAAATATGTTTTCTCAAGTAATAATAGTTGATTGAAATTTCATGAAAAAAAATGTGTAAATAGATAATAGTGAATAACACTTTTGGTACATTAAACTTGTTTGTGTTTATTATGGCTCATCTAATCGTTTATTCTATTACTTAGATAGATAAACTCGTATCTTGTTGAAATATTAACCTTACTTTGATGATTCAGTTGATGGGCTGTCATAAAATCAGAATGATGTACATATATTTTTTTTACTAAATTGAAATTACTATAATTTTATGACTATTTTTTCCTTGATGGTACATGCTTTTACTAAAGTAAACGTTTAAAAAAAATAAATTTCTGTTTATTAGATTTATATTCTTTAAGAATATATTATTTACCTAATGTCATCATCATAAGCTATAGGTATGCGTACTGTGTACAGTGCATAAACTTATTATGTATTGTAATGTTATTGATTTTACGAAAGTGACCAACACCCAAATCATTTAGTTTGAAGTGTTTCATGTCACGTTATCTATTTAGTCGTGAAATGTCTTGTTCAATTATTAACAGAATTCAATATTCACATTTTTACAAGTAACTTACACTGATTCGTTCGTTGGAAATTATAATTGGTAATAAACACAAAGCGTGAATTACAAAGTAATGATATACTTTGGTACTTAATAAAAAGTTTCCTCCTACAGCTATGTTAATATTTAACAAAAAGAAAAAAAAAAAAAAAAAAAAAAAAAAAAAAAAAAATTGAATTCCAAAGGGCCAGACCCGATGATAATAATAAAAAAAAAACGAAATGACTATTAATTTTTATACTGGTGTCAGTTTGAGGGTTCAAGTTCCTAGGGTTTGAACACCTGCAAGTTGACATTGTGGATTTAATACATCACGATTTTGTTTTAAATTTAATTTCCCACGTGTGACGAGTTTTATANAAAAAAAAGAAATCTCAACTCGTATAACACACAAATTTAAATTAATCATTCGAGAAATGACCTTGAGCATTGAAAATTCGAAAGCCGCCTGTATAGTAACAGCATCATTGGGTACCGCGTGCACGGCCGGGAGAGCACTTGATCTCGTTGAAAAACTTTACATGTCGAATTAATGGACTAAACTGTTTTAAATTAGCCCTCCGTTGGCCTCTCAATTTTTAAATTACTCCGAAAGCACTTTTTGCACACAGACCCGAGCTTCTCCCAACACAATATATTCATACACTCAATAGACCAAGATCGTTCACGTATATGAGTGCTCTGTGTGGCTCCGATGAATCACTCATTGCTGTAAAATGTCTCTTGATAAATTTTAATCATTAAAAAACATAAACAAAAAAAAAAAAAAAAAAAAAAAAAAGCTTACGCTTATCTTCGTCTGTGGGTATGGTGTGTACGTAATAATCAAGTGCGCACACTCGGCACGAAATCGGGGCTTCTATGCTTATCGCTCGAAGGTTCTTTTGTTAATTGTTTAATCTCTGCATGTGACATATATATATCTTTAAACCAAAAGAAATTGACTCAATTGAATGAAACGACGTCCGATTTCGGCGTCATTGAAAAAAAAACAAAAAAAGGACGTTACGCACAGGTGTGTTTTTAACATATTACGTATATATAATATGTTTGAGACGAAGGTACGCGGTGGCGCCAAGTTCTAAATAATCATCGGCTCCGTCGCTCTTGAATTAAAATCTTGGCACGCGCGGAATCCTCGCGCGGCGTGATTTCTCTCTCGCAGGAAAATGCGCGGTGGCTAAAAATAAATCCATTTTCGCGCCCCGTCCCATACCCTATACACGTATATATACGCGCGCCGGCGAGAGAGAGAGAGAGAGAAACCTGTCCGCGTCCATTGGAAATCCCGTCGGGCTTGGCTCGCCGTCTCTTCCAAACTCTCTAAAAGGTGTATTTGTCTCTCTCTCTCTCGAGTTCATTTTTTGGAGGAGGAGAGAAGAGGAGCCGCGCAATAATTAATAATCATCGGAGGGATCATCGTTTCCAGTACTAATTGGTGCTTTTTCTTGTTCGCAGGTGTACGTAGGTTCCAAGTCGACTCCGAGCGATGGCACGAGCTTTGGCGGCTCGAAAACCGGCGACAACGAGGTAGCAGAGTCCGAGGTATACCTACACACGCGGCACGCATTGTATAAGCTTGTAAGAAGACGAAACGATTATGCATCGGTGACGAACAATCGACGAAGGCTCCGAGAGATTAAAACGATGACAAAAAAAAAATTTAATTTTCTTTTTTTTTTTTTTTTTTTTTTTTTTTTTTNTGAATTGAATGTATTATCAGTGAATGCATATAAAAATGGAATATTATAGTTACGAACCACACGATAAGTAAAAGAAACCGAGTTTCTATAGTCGGCAGCGCTCGTAGCAGAATGGGTAAGATATCCGACTCATATGTAGGAGGTGGAGGGTTTAAATCTCTTTATTGGAAAGTGTTTTTTTTTTTTTTTTTTTTTTTTTCATTGTAAAACGCACACGCGCTCTGTCCCACGCATACATATTGTATTGTAATACGTATCGATCGATAAGCGCGTCTTTGATCTGACTTTATTTGTTTTATTTTACTTTTATTTTATTGACTTGCTACATGTACGTGTGTACAACACTCTCGCGTGCATATGCCGCGCGCGACAATAAAATCGCTCGAAGGGGTGACGTACTGTTATTGTTACCGTCTCGAGATAAACTTTCGAGATTTACGGGTCCGGTGCGTGCGTGCCGTGTGCTCGGCGTTTTATCCCGGTATACCTATCGCGCGCTCGATCCCGGCATTCCCGGCTTCGTATATACCCTATACCAATTCAAATATTGTGTATGGTATATCTTCTCTTGATCTTTATGTTTTCGTGTACGAAAAACGTGAGCTTGTATTATTTATTTATTTATTTTTTGTTTCCCTTGAGCAAACGTTGGCCAGAGTTTGCGGGTCAATTGCAAGTCAAGTAGGTGTATATTTGATGTTGAAGCTTTTGGTCAAGCTATCGAGTTACGTATTATAGCGGGTCGAGTGATGGTATACATACATTACGTGTTTTTACCTGCATATTGTGTACCAAGTTATGATGGGTAAACACGCATGAGGATATATTTGGCCAATAAAATGATACAGTCTGCCAATGTGGCTTGTCTCGTTGTCCGCCAACATGAAAATGTCGCGTTTGTTTGATGGGAAATATCCGTAAAAAAGGAGCTAAAACCAGTGGAAACGAGGAAGTGGGCAAAAGTGCTCAAAGTACAATAGGTATATTGAAACCAAGGCAGAAAATGTACATACACCCACGCTCCGTTGCTGAAGCACGAGACGGTAAAGTGGCTGCTAAGTGATCTTTCTTTATCTCGCGTGTGCACGGGTGCGTGGGTACTTGGACTTACTTACTTGAAGCGTTTGACACACTTAAAAACGGCGGATATACGCGAGTATAGAGCTTGACGTACCTTCTTGGCTATGTAGGCAGGAAAAAAAAAAAAAGAAAAAAAAGAAAGATAGCGTGCAAAAGACGCGATAATAGTTGATGCGGTGCGCGCATTACTTGTATTAAGTATATGCACAGGAATTTGTAATCTCTATCGGCGACATTATGTGAAAAAGATTGCATGAAAAGTTATCGCTCGTGTGGTTTTGAAACAAAATTATTTACATTTTTTCGTACGTCGTTGGAAAGGATATTTAAAAATAAACTTGATCAAGTCTCATCCAAGTCAAACACTTTTACCGAAAAGGTGCCATTTTTTAATTACAAAATCATCCACAATTATTATGGATCCATAAAACCGATGATTGTCCGTACAATCTCTCGTACGTCTGATGACAAACGCACACACAACAGGATATCAATTCTTTGTAATAGACCTACATATGCCCTTTTATACGCATTACACTGGCGCTCCTCTTTTTTTTTTTTGTCACGCCACGATGATCGTGTATACGTGCACCGAGTTCTTTGATAAAGTGACATACAATACACCGGTCCCTCGTCCGTCTGCCCGTCGGTGTTTCCCCTCTATATACACAATAGTTTCGTTATAACAATTTGCCTCATACATACGTATACGTACGCGTACAAGTAATAACCCGACAGAGTCGCGAATAGTTGGCAAGGTCACATCCATGTAATGGCAAGCGAGCATGAAAGCTGCTGCACCGCTACTACCCTGCTTCCATGTATATAATAATATACGCCACTGTACCGTCGCGACGATTCACGTTCCTCTTCACTATCTTTTTTTCCCTTACACGCGTATTTTATCACGTACATAAACCCCTGTATATTTACCTTATTACCGATCCCTTCCACTTGGACGTATATATACCTATTTCCAAGCCGGGTACTCAACTACACAAGTATATATATGTGCGTGCATGATGTACACATGCTAGGCAGACGGGTATACGTACTTCTAGAAATAACCGACGAGACGACGATCGAGGCGAGACAGGGAGAGAAAGAGAAAAGATATGAGGATACGTCGGTTTACGAAATTAACGGCGACTAACTGCCACAACAAGTTATTACCATCATTATGTACTTTGAAAGTGAAATCTATATATATATATGTGTGTGTGTGTGTGTGTGTATCCTCTCTTGACAGTGTCCTTATTTTTTTTTTCCTTAAGTAATCCTTTTGTCGCGACAGTAATAGTATAACGCGTGACAAAGCTCGTTTCGGGCTTTTAGCCGGCAAATCGGCACGAGAGAGATGATACCGATCTATCCATTGTGTATGGAAACCCCAAAGCCGAGCGTTTGGCATTTACGACCGAGGTGTTGGGTATACCACGTAGGTTCCATAAATTCATCGTTGGCGAGAGCTCCCGGGAGTTCAATTAGAAAATCGAGGCTTGAATTTATTTATTTATTAATTTATTTGAAGAATAAAAAAATAATCATAATGACGCGTGGAAGGACGTTCACTTTCACGTGTACCTACCGAGCCTGAGTCATACGTGCGAGCATTTTATTTACGATGATTGTGTATAATATATGTGTGCTCACAGGAGATAATTTTTTTTTGCTTTTTAATTGTAAAACCAGAGGTTGTTGCAGCGCAGATTGGTAAATCAGAATTGACGATCGGTTCGTAATTCGTTACTGTACCGATGTATTCTCGGAGCTTGTTTGCATTTTGCAGCAAAATAAAAAAAAAGGGGGGGGTGAAATGGGGGGAAGAGCGCATACAGGTTCTGCAAAGATCGAGAGAGGAGAGCAGTGATCGAACGTTGATGTTTATTTTGTTTTTTTTCTGGTTGCCCAACAGACGGAGAAACGAGACTTGCCGGGGATAGACTGCGCCTACCTGGCCATGGACACGGAGGAGGGCGTCGAGGTCGTCTGGAACGAGGTCCAGTTCTCCGAGCGCAAAAACTTCAAGGCACAAGAGGAGAAGATCCAGCTGGTCTTCGAGAACCTCACCCAACTCGAGCATCCCAATATCGTCAAGTTCCATAGGTACTGGACGGACACCCACAATGACAAGCCTCGAGTGAGTGTCTTTTCCTTTACTTTACTACTTGATGAGCACATGTATATGTGTATGGCTATTGCCACTTTCGAGTCCCCGGAGAGGCACGCACCTTTGGAAAACGAATTTTTCTCTTTCACTGGTGCCTTTGGGAAATATGGGGGACATTTACGAACGGGCGATAAATCAAGCGTTACTATGGGCTTTTGTTGGATGTTTTGGCAGATTTTAGTATTGGATAATCTTTGGAAGAAAAAAAAATTCGGTTTTATTCTTGTAAACTGCAAAAGCTACGCAAAAGTGGCAAGATCTATTGTAAAAACTCGAAAAAAAGGCCAAAAAAAAGCGTCCCAAAGCTTACTTTTCCGAATTCCTACAAAAAAACACGTGTGTAATCGACAGGGTGCTTCAACGTGTAAATACCTAGTAAAATTTTTTGCGGAATCGACACTATACACACATTTTCATGTTTTTTTTTAATACTTGCAACGTGTACAGATGTGAATTCGGAAGCCGATGCACTGTGGTTTTTCGATAACAAAATTCACACAAACAAGCAAATTATTGGCGCAAAACCGAAAGTGGTATATCTTGTTTCGTCGCATGCAACTTATTAACTTTTAACGCATAATGTGCTCGCCGCATCAGCGCGCGTCTAAATTTAACTTTATCCAAGTGACAACCGATCGAACATACATGTACATGTACACTTGATATGCAAATGTTCGAAACCCGAGCTTTGCGAAATACTTTAAATAGAAATTTCGCGCCAAATGTAACGTATTTGTAGGATGTGTTGTACGAAGATTTTTTTTTTCGCGTAAAATATTATTCCAAAAAATGTCTAATTCAATTGGTATTTTTTTTTTTTTTGCATTGCTTGCAGGTTATTTTTATAACGGAGTACATGTCGTCTGGCTCCTTGAAACAGTTCCTAAAGCGGACAAAACGCAACGTCAAAAAACTACCGTTACAAGCGTGGAAACGGTGGTGTACACAAATTCTTTCTGCACTAAGGTAAATTTATAATAATATACATAAACGACGTTTGCCCCTTAGTTCTCGAGGTAACATTAAAACAGAATTGCGCCCTTTTGAGTAGTTTACCTATTTCTTAAGCTGAAAATTTTACACCCAATGTAGACAATGACGGAGAACATATTGAAAATGTCTTTTCAGCTACTTGCATTCCTGTTCGCCTCCCATCATTCACGGCAATTTGACCTGCGATACGATATTCATCCAACACAACGGCCTAGTCAAGATCGGCTCTGGTGAGTTTCATCATATTTGCTCATTTTTCTGTTTAGCCATATTATACACACTTGATTAGCGAATCAACAAACGATTCGAAGTAAAGGAAAAAAAAAACACGGCAAAAATTGTATATTGAAAACATCGGAAGCAGTCTGCCAAGGCCACTTGGTGTATAAATTTGTTGTCTGCATTTTTAAACGAGCTTCAATAGCGAAAAGAACAAGTAAATGGAAAAAAAAAATCAATTGGTTTACCGATTGCTCGCTCGAAAATTTCATTCCAATGAAATAGCAAAAATCGAAACATCAGTGCGTGTTTATTTCTTGTAATATATTCGCTTTGTACAGACGCCCAGACGGCAGGTTTATTATCATTTAATTCATAAGTATGTGCATGCACTGCTAGGTATTTTTTCTTAAGAGTAACTTGAGCCCCCATTCAATATGATACCACATCGCATATATTCATACCTATACATAGGCTAATCTCAATGTTGTAATACTTGTAATGAACGATAATATAGCAAAGGCTTCGCAAAACTCTTCTCTATCACTTCTTCATCCGCTGTAGTCAGAGGAGATGGCGTTTTCATGACACTACACGGAAAATCATCGACGGAAGATTGAAATCGCGCACTGCGCGGTTAAATATTGAAACGCGGGACAACATTCACTGCAGCTAAATAAACTGTAGAGCTATATGGAGGTACATGTTATTTATAAGCTTGATCGAATTGTAAATACATTTCGCTTACAAGGTTTTTTCCTCATTTTTTTTCTTTTTGTTTTCATTATTCAAACACACCATCAGCATACCAATCTCATTATTTTTATTAAAAACACTTCATTGTTCATTTTCATAGTGAATCGGGGAATCAACGAGGGCTCAAGTTACTCAAAAATACAAATAAAACTCCTCCTTTGTTAATACGACAGAACGAAAGCACGCAAAGTTGTGAGTAGAATGAAAAAAACTAATTTTTTGTTCCAGTGGCTCCTGACGCTATTCACCATCATATTAAAACCAATCGGGAAAACATGAAAAACATGCATTTCGTTGCTCCGGAGTATGGAAGTAAGTATTGCTGTACACCCAGCCTTTTCGCGGCAGTTCTATAGAGTTTTTAATACGCTGAACATTTTTTTTTTCCAGATGCAACAACTCCTGCCATCGACATTTACTCGTTCGGTATGTGTGCACTGGAGATGGCAGCATTGGAAATACAAGGAAACGGAGAAAGCGGCACCGTTGTCACGGAAGAGAACATCAACAAGACAGTAGAGTCTCTGGACGACTCACAGCAAAAAGACTTTATTCACAAGTGTCTTCAAACGGATCCACTGAGGCGACCTAGCGCTAGAGAATTACTCTTTCATCCTGTTCTTTTTGAAGTTCATTCCCTCAAACTACTCGCAGCGCACGCTTTAGTCAATTCAGCTAGTAAGTTTTGCACCTACATTTTACGTGAAAGATGTTCAAATCATATCGCAATTAGGGACGTTAACTGGTGTCATTGAATTTTTCAGCAAATATTTCCGAAACCATTACAGATGAGGTGTTGCAAAGGTTGTATGGCCCTGATACTATTTTTGCTGAAATTAAATACCAAAATAGGCCTCCCCATCAAATTCGACTCAGTGATATTGCTGTGACGGAAAAACTGGAAAAATTTGTTGAAGACGTTAAGTAAGTACACATTTGCAGCTGCCAATTTAAGTGAATTACCGTAGACTAAACTTTGATATTCCATGAATTTTTCAGGTACGGAATTTACCCACTGACTGCATTTATGGCTAAGCTTCCTCCACCAGTAAGGCCACGAGCTATATCTCCCGAAGTCACTGAATCAGTTAAATCCGTAACTCCAGAGCCAGTCGATGTAGAGGCTCGTAGAGTAGTCAATATGATGTGCAACGTGAAGCCTCGCGAAGAAAGTTGCGAATTACAAGTGAGCGTAAGTATCGGTTTAAGCCATTCCATTAAAAAGGCTGCAAGTTCTGACTTACTGACCTCTTGCAATAAACTTTGAGTGAGCATTTGTCTTGCTTTCTTAGATGACAATACTATTAAGGATGGATGATAAAATGAATCGGCAATTGACGTGTCCGGTTACTGAGGCTGATACGTCCATGTCACTCGCACAGGAACTTGTATACTATGGCTTTATCAACGAAGTGAGTACTCATTTTTCCATCAAATATTTTCCGTCCTAGTCTGAGTATAACGTGGTCGGGTTTGTTTTTAAAATTTTAATTGAAAGCCAAGTTTCCTTTATTTCGTTTGTATATGAACACAATAAGCGAAAGATTGAGTGTAGAATCGATTTTTGTTACACAACTCTTGCGGCGATGAAGCAATATTTTCATTCGAATGAGATATAGTTTCAAGTCACCCGTTGACTCATACGTAGTATCAGTTGTCTGCATTGAGTACTCAATCGATTTTTTATCAACCAATTCTATAATTAAACTAGTATTGCAGACTTGCAGAAAAAAAGTGCCAAGTATACTTGAATAGGAAATAACAAGATAATACAATTCTGAAAACTATTTATACTCTTTATTTAATTTACTATGTAATAGTAAACAATACTTGACCAAGTAGGGACTTTAAATCAGTATTAATTTTTTTATTTTAGAATGACCGTGACAAAATAGCAAATCTTATTGACGAGGCATTGCGCAGCTGCTTTAACAAGCAGCAGACACTGAGTCCAGGTGTCGTGTCGTTAGCCAACCTGCCGAGCCAAACTTTGCTGCTGCCCGGGCCAGACTTTCCTCGTCTGCAACGTATCGAGCCAGTAGATCTTTCCAAATCGATTGGCAACGCAAAAGAGCATCAGCTACATCACGAGTCCGAGCCGTCATCTGCGTCGACAACGACGACGTCGACGTCGACAACGACGGCCTCGTCGGTATTAGAACAGCCAACAACGCTGGCCAGCGAGGCTGGCAGTTAACAACCGAAGGCCACTCGGCGTCCCGCAGATGCTGCTACTGCGTCGTACTCTTTCGACTCCGACAGCAACACTGTTTGTGCCACTTTGCACGCTCCATGTATAGACTGGCTATGTATTTTTAAATTTTTAAGTAAGGCGATTTAATAATTATTCGTGCATGCGCGCGCGCGAAAGATACGGATGTAAATGTGAATAATGACGGCGACGATGAAGCGTAAAAATGATAGTTTTAGTGCAGGTTTGGAAGGAATTTTTTATTTTTATTTTTCTTTACGGTTAATAGATAGTTATTGACTTCATGACTCAATGATACGTTTCCAAATTACTGTGATTAATGTGATTACTGTGACTCAATGTAACTAACTTATCAGCGGTTTAATTTGACTTTTAAATTGAAATTATGAATTAAAATTTTACACATATTTTTTTAACTATTTGTCAATTGGAAGATCACACCGTCTCAAATACAAACGTTGGCAAGGTCTCTACTGCAAAGAAAGAACGCGATATTTGAAAAGGGCGAGAAGAAAGAATTAGGTGCAAAAAAGTTTGTTTCTTTGTGTCATGCGATTTCCTTTCATTTTTACTAAATGATGCATCCTATATTTGGTTTTTTATTTGAAATAATGGTTATAATGATCCAAGGTTATATACATTGTCATTTAATAGAAACCACAGAATTCCGTTATGAAAGTTTAGCTACTTTACNGAAAAAAAATCATGATTGTATGAAACATAATCTGCTTGGTGTGTGTGTTTTGATGGTGTAGTATAAAGGGGAATAGGGGGCATGTGACCAAACGGGGAGTGATAAGAGGAGGTGTGCAGAGGACAAGCGCAGCACCGTTGGAATAGATAGGGTGAAGGAAAGTGTGAAGGGAACTGATGAGGAGTTTGATTTGTTTGCGCTACATACGAACTTTATTTATAGCAAAACTATTAAAACCTCTTCAATATTGGCCATCGTACATCTGTCTATCTTTGTCGATTACAACAAACCCATACAAAACTCGAATAGTATGTGTCCTATGTAGTAATGTAGTAATGTCGAATTTTGATAAAATTTGACCGTTTACTTGTTCACAGGAAGATTAGTTCATATCTATGAATTGCCAAACTTGAGAGCTCTATGAATATCCACTCTTGTCCACAACATTAAAACATATTTAAACTGTTATAACGTCCAATAAGTTGAAAAAACAGAGCCATGTAGTTTTAGCCCTCCAGATAAATTGTTAAAATCAAAGAGAAGTTAATGTTAGTATATTTGATCATTGCAACGTAAGAAATGTTCATTATCTTTATTTTTATATAACATCATAAAAGACATATTAAAAGGACACTTTGAAAGGATTAAACTATCTGATGAGTCAAACGGTCTTGAACCAACAAAGATCCCTTTAGCAATGGACTGAAAATATCTTGAATTCCCTCAAAATTGGCGTTTTGCTCACTTTTTTATTGCACGATAGTTGTTGAAAGAGCAATAAGATTAACAAATTTTTATCAATTAGTTTATTAATAACCTGGATATTTTTATGCTCCATTAAGCTGCTTATTGAAATAAAAGCGTTTCAAATGTACATGTATAATAATTAGAAACAAAGTTCTTGCAGTTTTTACAGCAAACGAATAGAATTTAAAAATGCTACGCTCATCTTGAAAATAATATAAAAATACAGTGTTCCGTTCCAGTATGTATTATTCTTGTAAAAATTATCGTGCATACATGCAAACGGCCGTGTTTCGTGCCGTCCTTGTTTTGTCATAGAAGACTCGAAAAACTAATGATAATATTTATAATAGTAGCAATTAAATACTGATGAGAAAAGAAAGATGAAGGAGAGATAATTTAAGTATAAAAATCTCGCACAAAGTTAAGGTAAAAACAAAATGGTCTCTTTTTGGTCAGTAATGAGGAGTTTCAGGAATTGATTTTCACGACGATTCCAAGCATAGAATGTCGCCAAAGAGAGTATAAAAAGTTGCACAAGAGCGACACTATTTTGGTATTTTATTAATGTGATGCTACAAAGATTTTTTTTTAAGTAGTAAAAAGCAAGAAAAAATTAATCTTTGTAATTTATTTTTTTTAATTCTTTGTCTCTTTCTCTTTCTCAGCTTCATTAATGACGATGATCATTTTTCTTCTCTTTTGTGAGAGAAAAAGACGCGATTGCACTGTTTATCCGCTTAATTATATTCAATTCAACCTTGTGATATAGATGGATAATTAATTCTTTTGGTAATGAGTAATAAAAATCACAACATTCGAATTATATCGAGGATTTAATGGACTGACTGTAACGTATAAGTAAAGATATGAGTTTTTTCTCAAGTTACTCTTTAAATGATAGCTTTTTGTTTCATCAATATCTCATTGAGTATATTTTTCATATGACATTGTTCCATGCAAATAAATATAGAGTATAAAATTATTTTTTAATTGAAGAAATATATTGTTTTTACAAGCATCCAGGAAAATAATCAAAAAGTCTATAATTAAGAGTAACAAAAACAAAAAAAAAAAAAAAAAAAAAAAAAAAAAAAAAAA